AAAGTCGCCTTTCCCGTTTGGAGGTCCTCAGCTCTCCCAAATCTATCTCTCTCTCGTCAACACCATTCCCAGTTTCTGGCAATTCTTAGAACTCCCTTTCAGGGGAAGACAGACAGACAAACAGCTTTGGGCCCCTGAAGTCTTCCAGAAAGCCTACCAGAAACATGTTTCCATAGATGATTTCAATAGGTGTTCACAACAGCCCTGTGAGGTAAGTTTTATTATCCCCATTTCACAGAGGGGTTCACTGACACTTAGAGGATGTAAGTGATTTGTTCATAGTGTTTGGAAGTAGTGGGGTCTGTATTAATTTCCAGAGTTCCCATAGGTATAGTAAAACCCATAGGTTTTACTATATCAAGCTGCCTTGGACCGGAAGTCAAATAAAATAAAAATGATGTCAAAATAATAGAGATTTCTTAAGCCATCCAAGGAGCAGTGAGGAGCAGACCAAGCAGCGAGCAATCTCTGAATCTCTCAAGGCAGGTATTTAAAAATGCTGGAATTGTCGGCTTTGCATAGGCCTCCCTGCAGCTGGAGATCCCAGTGCAGCCTTGGTACCCTCTAGTGGAAGTTTTCTGCATTCACACAGCTTCCCTTCCACCCCGAAAAGCTCCAGGGCGTCCCAAAAGAATGGTCATCTGGCAGGTACGTGTTTCTGTGTCAGGGTCCACAGCGGGTAGACCAAAGGACACAGACTAGAGTGAAGGTGCGCCCAATGCTTGATTCACAGGGGCCCCAAAGGGCGTCCTTTTCAGTGTATTATAAATGAGCTCAGGCCTTTGTGCAGTATTGATAAGAGCTCAATACACACTGCGTGGGACTGTGGGCTTTTAGGGCTCTAAAGAGTGACTCTCCTTTTCAAAAGGAAAACTAGTGATCAGAGATGTGAAGTGACTTGTTGTAAGGCAGGGTAAGCCAATGTCAGCAATGGTTGAACTAGAACCCCTGTCTCTTGCCTTCAAACCCAGAGCCCTTCCCACTGTATCTTAGTTTTCTATTGGTTGGTAGATTGAATTCAGACAAAATGCACAGTGGTGTGCATACAAGGACATGAGGTTGTAGTGTATAATCAGGAAATTGTTTTTGCCTTCATCTGCCCAGAATGTATACACTTTTCAGTCTTTCATCCATTTATAGCGTGCCTCATTCCCAAACATTACTCTAAAAATTGGTTTTACAGGGTACCCTAGCATACGAGAACAGGCGCCTGAACTACAGCCCTCCTGGCATTCCTGGAGCTTCTTCCCCATTCCCCAGTGCTAAAGTGTCAGATTTCTTTGTCTCCCTCCCCCTCCAGAAGTAATCCCCTGGAACGGAAGTGGGTTAGAAACAGATTACTCTGATCTAGGGGCTTTGCTCTCTCCCTTGTAAATGTGGTGCTTGTGGGAGGGGGTGGGATGGAGGGCTGACCGGGAGTCACAAATAGCCTGAAATTCCCTTTTAGGATTATTGCTTGATTTAGCCAGCTGGGGTGAAAGTGGAGCAAGAAGAGGCGAGGGATTAATTCTAGACTTAGTTTGAACAGCGGGTGGCAGGAACTTCTTTTCTGGCTGAGCTGGAATGAGCAGTATCTCTTCCTAAACATACCTTTAGAGATAAGGAGTCTAAGGGAGGCAGAAAATGGTAAAGGATGAGGTCTTTGTCCTCAGCAGCAGGAAGGAGTGGGAGGACAGATGAGAAAGAAGGAGGAGAAAGCCATGACCCACAGAAATAAGAAATCACTTCTGGGCTTGAAAACAAACCTGCCTTTAGGTGGTGTTAGTTTTCACGGAGGTGAGAACTTCTCCTGATGGGGAAAACAGCTAACATACAGGGCTTCCTGCAGATTTCCAGTTCATATCTGGGTTAGGAGCTCTCTTGCTTTAGGGGCACTGCACTGGGGTGGACTCTGGGGGCAGGAATGTTCTCTCTGTCCAGCACAAAGGGCAGTTACCCTAACCAGGACTCTGCTAGGCTCTGTATATCCTCTCCAGGGTCATGGACGTGAAAGCAGTGGCCATAGCTGACCAGAGAGGGAACACATATCAACTCATTTAATGAGTTAATAACAATTCTTTGCGTTAGATACTTATTTACCCTCTTCCTATAGGCGAGGAAAAGAGGTGGAGTTAAGATATAAACTTAGGCACTATTACATTCTTAACCATTATGTGAGAGTCACAGCCAACTCTTGGAGTGATGGAAAGGCTCTGCTAACCTAACATCGTTAGCTAAAAAGCTCTTGGGAACATTTCTTGGAAGCCAGAATTATTGGTTTCTTCTATGTCACCTCATCTGGGAGAATTCACTTCTGCTCTTCGTGTTCTCAAGGGAAGGAAGTACAATATAAACACACAGCAAACCTATGACTTGCATTGTAATCAGACTTTTTCAATCCCCCAGAAGGATTTTCCTTCTTCAAATCAACTGTGCTCCTCCTGGAATGTAGGTTACCAGGCAGAACTTCAGGAATTTCTCTCTCAAATTCTGTCACCTGCCACTGGGAGGAAAAATAAATGCAAGTGCTCCCACTGTGCATGGGACTTCCCATTCTCTTCAGCTCCGTTTAGAAATTTCAACAGGGCAGCAGGGGTTTCTAGGAATTCCCTGTGTTTGGAGAAATAAGAAGTCACCTTTGCCCTCTGCTTCATCATATCTTATCTGGGATTCTATTCATTTATTTTTTTGAAATTTAAAAAGGATTTCATTCTTATTTATTTTTAGAGAGGAGAAGGGAGGGAGAAAGAGAAACATCAATGGGATGTCCCCAATTGGGGACCTGGCTTGCAACCCAGCCATGTGCCCTGAATGGGGACCTGGCCCACAACCCAGACATGTACACTCATGGGGAATCAAACCAGTGACCTTTTGATTCACAGGCTGGTGCTTAGTCCACTGAGCCACATCAGCTGGAACTGGGGTTCTATTCATTTATTGAATAAATAGATACTTGATTGTCTACTATGTGCAAGACTGTCCTTTGTGAGGCTGAGGGCCTAATCACTTTATTCCTACCTCTAATTGCACAATGAGTTCCCTTCTTTTGCTCTTATCTTGCTTTTTCTGAAGTGTAAATTACTAGGGTTGTAGAATTAAGAAACATCCTGTGGTGTCACTTCCCCAGTAGACAGCTCCCAATTTTCCATGGAGTTAATGAGGTAGGGAGATAATATGAATTTTCCAAAAGAGCACCTAATAAAAAAAGAGCCCATTTATAACTCATCTCAGAATGAATTAAATGAGGCACTGCCTGGGTAGCTCAGTTAGCGCATCATTCTAAGGTTACGTACGGGTTTGATCCCCAGTCAGGGTACATACAAGAATCAACAATGAATGCATAAATAAGTAGAACAACAAACTGATGTTTCTCTCCCTTTTTCCTCCCCCCATCTAAAATAAATAAAGTCTATTTTTTAAAATAATGAATTAAATGATATTGACCCCCTTTATTATTTCATCTAGGCTAATATGAAGCAAAATTTCATTCCCTGAGAAACTCATCAGAGGGCAGGCAAAGGATGATCTAGAACGTGTTGGCTACATGTATGGCCAACATAAAACTCAACAGTGGACAATCCCAGATAGACTATATCAATGTTCTGTATTAATCAATGACCAGTCAGTGGAGTGGGATTTTTCCACTTCAGTGGGGAGACTAGTTAAAAAAAAAAAAAAGCATGGTTTATTTTCTGGGGACAGGAGTCTGTAAAAAAGTAACTAGATAACTCATTTAAATGCTTAGTAATACATATTCTTTAATTAACACATACAGTGGCACCTAATTTCATGTCACTGTTCATGTGCAATGAATGCTATAGGTTTAATGCCTAAGACTGGTTGGGGAATTCTTACCCTTGAAGAATTTGCAGTAGAGTTGAGACGCCAAGAATTAAGACAATGCATCTGATCCCCGGACCCAAAAGTAATCTTTCCTTTGATAGTCCCTAGCATTTTACCTTTGTAGCAATTCTATTCCAACGTGTAAGCTCTTGTACATGCATACTATAGCTCCTAACTCATTGCAGAATACTGTAGGGTAAGTGCTCAATAAATGCTAATCGTTGGAATAAGATAAGAACCTATGGGTAAGTGTGGAAAGTGTTTGCCATTCAGGAATGATTTACAGCACAATCCTAATCATGTATCTTTCAACAACTGAATATGAGGCAGTGCAGGACAGTAGTTAGTGTGTATGGCTTCTGGAATTAAGACTGCTGGGATAGATTCCAATTCTGCCAGGTATCAGCCATCTGCCCCTAACTAAAACTTGCAATTTCTCTGCAACCCAACCCAAATGTAAAAGGAGAATATTACTCGTTTGCGGTGAGAAGCAATTTAATTAATATATGCAAATGCTTCGAAAATTGCCTGGCACCCGGCAAACATTCCTTAGTGTAAACTATTTGTTAATACTAGTCCTGTGCTTCTTTCCCAATTGACAAATAAGTGTTTTTGTCTATCCGCGGACAAAAAACACAATGACTAATAAACATAATTATGTTTGTTAAATAAACATAGTAATCACTAATTCCCTTTATTTGAAATTAAGAAAAAAATTTTTTCACACAGTACAGGTTGGGAAAACTAGGAATCAAGTTTAAAGTTACAGAGCCTATTAGGGTCAGCTATAGACCGAGACCCTATTCGTTTCAAGCCCTTTTTGGGATCAAAAGTAGGCACTGAAAAAAAAACCAAACCACCTGTATCAAAAGAGCCGCACCTTTTCACTACTCTCCGAACAAGGTGCAGCAACGCCCGATTCACATAGAAATGCAGCGATTCCTGGCCGCCTGAAAGCAGTACGCGCAGGCGCAGCTCTCACGCCAGCATGTTCGGTTGGCGCGTGACAACCGTGCGTTCCACCCTACCCCCAACACGGTCTTAGTGCGCACGCGCAAACCTACTCCCCGCGCACGTGCGCGTTCGCGCCGCTCCTACTTCGCCGGAGGGCGCGCGCCTTGGAAAATTCCGCAATCGAGCAAGCTCCGCCCTATGCGCCTTCTTGCATTCTCCAGTCTCTTCACCCTTAGTCCCTGTCCCAGCAGCCTTTGAGTGAACAAAATGGCTGCTCCCATGCAACGGGGGTTGTTTTGCTTATCCAGGGCTTTAGGATGGTGGTCTCAGCAGGTGGGTAAGAACCAGGCGAGTAGGACTGTAGGGGCTGGAGATGAAGGACAGAGTAGAGGGAAACAGTCCCTTCGCAGTTGCTCGTGGTGATCTTTGATGATACGAGTCATACCAAGGCCAGGGAAGAGTTTAAGGCAGATGGGATCCAGCTACTGAGCTAAGTGGCTGAGTAGTGAAAGCCTGGGTAGGGCCATGAGGGCGAGCAAGTTCTCGGAAACTAAGTTTGTCCTGTTTCGTCTGGGTGTGTTTGGCAGGAAGCTTTTTAAAGGGGAAAGACGTAATGGTTTGGAAGATGGGCTCGCTTCCCACTGATTGTAAAAATCCTAAATGAAACAGTGGCTGGAAAGGAAGGAATCCAGTGTTGACGTTGTAGCTGCGTAAGCAAACCTTGTTAGAGAGTAAAGAGACCTGGCCTATACAAAGGTTGTTAATCAGTTGGGAGCTAGAACGACTGAAGTTTACAGTGAGGATACCAATAGAATGAGCGGAATGTAATCTCAGTGAAAAGAGAAATGCCAAGAGGCTTTTCTTAAGCTTTAATAAGAGTATTCTGCTCATTTCAGCATTGGATTGGTGTTTATGTTCCCCATTACACTGAAGGTTCTTTAGAAACCAGGAGCCTTGTTTTAATCAGTATCCCTAGGAGTTGCCCAGTAGTATGGCTAGTACTAAAGGAAAGCCTTTAAACAAATGGTCGGTGGAGTTACTAAATGTTGCTTACTAGCTTCTACTAAGAAACACCCGAAGTGTTAAAGTAGTAATGCATTTCCCCCACGATATGTGGTTTTATAATTGTTCCTAAGTCATTCTTTGGATGTGCTGCTTCTACGTTTGTTTAGAGTTTGTTCCAGACCTCATTTTTTCCAGGTTACCTATATCGTAATCTTTCCTACCTTCCAGCCACTTCTGGTGATGCAGTCCATAGCTGTAGTTCCAGTGAGAACTAAAAAACGTTTCACACCTCCTACTTACGAACCCAAATACAAATCAGAAAAGGACTTTGTACAACATGCCCGGAAAGCAGGAGTGGTCATTCCTCCAGAACGTTTGGAGCGCCCCATACATTTGGCCTGTACAGGTGAAGCATGGTATTTCTTACACCTTAATTCAGTCTCCTGTCAGAGATAATCTGGAAAGGGGAATGATTGGAAAATGATTGACGGTATTTAACCACAAAAATCAGTTGAGCCTCAATAATGATTTACTTTGTACACGTTGTATTTCATGAAATCATCTTTGATCTTGTTTTTACACTATTCCTAAAAGGCAAAGGTGAAATCCCATTTTGTACAAGATGAAACTGAGGCTCTGAGAGAAGACTTAAATGATCTCATTCTACTTTTTCTCATATAACAGGATTCCTTCTACGTGGACGTTTAATTCATTAACCTACTTTACCTAGGTTAGGAATTGTATATGACCTGAGGATGCCTTTTTCTCAGTCTTGCAGTGCTTTCTTAGTTTTCTCCTTCTCTTGTTACAGCTGGTATCTTTGAGGCCTATGTTCCTCCAGAGGGTGATGCTCGCATGTCATCTATTTCAAAGGAAGGACTGGCACAGAAAACTGAGCGATTGAAGAAGAATGTGGCATCACAGATGTCGTAGGTGTCTGAGGCAACTGGGAGTCAATATTAGGATAAACATTTCTTGTTACTATTTCATTCCAGAAAGACCATCTTGGGTTAACTGGATCGGATATAACTCTCTTAACAACTTGACAGTGTTTTCTTTCTCTGTAATAGTCTGTAGTAAATGTAGAATGATATGGGCATTCTGATTCTTAGCATCTCAGCATTTATTGGTTATTAGAAAGCTGACTGTGAAATTTGTAGGACTTTTTGATCACCTATTTTAAAATTTAAAGTAATGATAAGAGAAAGCATATGTAAGAAGCATATATTGGAATTTAAATTTCAGAGAGTAAGAAAAGCCAAAAAAGAACAAGAATGTAGACCTGTTCTTGGGAGCTAACTGGGCCTTAGTTAAGGAGCAAAAGCAAAAACCTGAGGCCCCTCTTTTAGTTGAAAGGACAGAAACATGTAGTATTTGTCATTCTAAGGTTCTTCAGGGTCATTTATAGATTTCTTTGCACAAGTATATTGAATTGGTCTTAATTCTTCATGTGGCCATAATTTGTTTCTCTAAATACAGATCTTATCACATCAGCTTTCCTATTTAAAATTCTTCTCTGTTTTCTTTTTTTTTAATATTAAATTAACTTAAAAATATTTTAAAAATTTTATTTATTTATTTTTAGAGGGGAAGAGAAGGAGAGAGGGAGAGAAATATCAATGTATGGTTGCCTCTCGTGCGTCCCCTGCTGGGAACTGGCCTGCAACCCAGGCATGTGCCCTGACTGGGAATCGAAGAGCGATCCTTTGATTCACTGTTCGATCCATGCTCAATCCACTGAGCTATACCAGCCAGGGCTCTGTTTTCTTATTGAAGAATAAAATCCATATTTCTTCAGTGGTATTCAAGGCTTGTTATAACATCACTGTTATCTTCTCTCCATCATTTTCTCCTTATTCCATTTTTTTCATCCTAAATTTCAGCATGTCCAAACTAATTGCCAATTCCTTGACAGTATTGCGGAATGCCTCTGTGTCTTTGAATATCTTTTTAATATTTAAAAGAAATATATTGATTATTTTAGAGAGAGGAAGCGGGAGAGACAGTGAGAAAGACAGAAACAATTGATCTGTGTGGTTCGTTCCACTTAATGCAATTCATTGGTTGATTCTTATATGTGCCCTGATGAGAGGTTAATGTAAGCTGTGATTATAGAATTGAATGACGTCTTTATAAAAATTATTCTTATGCTTAACTTCACAGAATACGGAAAATAAAAGAATATGACGCTAATTTTAAAATAAAGGACTTCCCTGAAAAAGCTAAGGATATCTTCGTTGAAGCTCACCTTTGTCTAAACAAGTAAGTGCACTCCCTGTCTTAAGCCCATTATGTTCTCCTTTTGTAGGAGAACTTCCTATGTGGGAAATAATTGGGCCCTGTAGCCTTCCTTGATGTCCCTGTAGCCGTTCTCCCTGCTGCCGGGGGTTTTCACTATTTGGCCTGGTTCATCTCTACCTACAGATGTTGGGAGACCCTGCTGAACAGCTGCTGTTCTCACCCCACCTGGTCCCTAATTCTTCCTGACCCTTTCCATGTGTTTGTCTTGTATATGTACATTTCCCTTTCCTTAGTTATTTGGTACAAGTTTCTTTTGAAAAATTTAAAGAAGATTTTATATATTTTTAGAGAGAGGGGAAAAGAGGGAGAAAGAGAAGGAAACATGAATCAGCTGCCTCTCCACACCCCTAACCAGAGACCTGGCCCGAAACCCAGGCATGTGCCCTGACCGGAAATTGAACCAGCGACCTTTTGGTTTGAAGGCTGGTAAGGAAGCCATTGAGTCGCACAAAGTCAGGGCTCTTTTGAAATTTTTTAATGTTTTCTTCATTCAACCAAGGAAAAGTCAAGGCTGCTAGGGAGACAAAAACCACTCAGGGACCTGTAATAATTTAAGTCCCAGTCCTTGGACTATTGCTGACAGTCTTGAGCTCTGGCTATTATGGCTAGGCTTCAGGTAGGACCCCAAATCTGTGCTCTGAGATCCATTTATTGTTTAAATTGTTTTATAAATTATGAAATAGTTCAAACATATAAAAAAGTAGCATTCATGTTAATAGATGTTTACATTTTGTTATATTTGCTTTGGAATCTCTAATTGGGAGAGGGGGCAGGGATAAAACATTACAGATATAGCTGAAGTCTCATATCCTCATTCTTTTTCTTCCTCCAGGTAACCAATATCTTATTTATAATTCCCATGTATATTTTATTTTTATATTCTTCACTAAGTGTTCATGGGTAAATAATGAAAATTCTGCATGCATGATATCATTGTATGTATCTTTTGAAACCTACTATTTTTATTGTTCAACATTGGTGTTTATATATTTGATATTTTTCTACCACATTATTTTGCGTGTTGTATTTGCCATGATTTTTCTTTGCTTTTTCTCTTTTCATTTATTAGATTGATATAATTTCCTTCTTTTTTATTCTTTTCCTTCCACTTGTTTGGAAGTATTACATTCTATTTCTGTTCTTTTAGAAGTTATTGTTAAAATGTTTCACATGTATTCGTTTTTTCCTTTTTTCTTGATTTACAAAGAGAAAGAAAAACACTGATTTGTTGTTCTACTTATTTATGCATTTGTTGGCTGATTTTTTAAAAATATATTTTATTAATTATGCCATTACAGTTGTTCTATTTCCCCTTTTCATGCCCCTCCTCACCCCCTCACCCACCATTCCCCCCTTTAGTTTATGACCACGTGTTTCAAGTTCTTTAGATTCTATATTTCCCCTACTATTCTTGTCCTCTCCCCTATCTATTTTCTGCCTACCATCTATGCTACTTATTTTCTGTACCTTCTCCCCCCTTCTCCTTCTCCCATTCCCCTGTTGCTAACCCTCCATGTGATCTTCATTTCTATGGTTCTGCTCCTGATCTAGCTGTTCTCTTAGTTTGCTTTTGTTTTAGGTGTGGTTGTTAATAACTGTGAGTTTGCTGTCCTTTCACTGTTCGTCTTTTTTATGTTCTTTTTCTTAGGTAAGTCCCTTTGACATTTCATATAATAAGGGCTTGGTGATGATGAACTCTTTGAATTTGATCTTATCTGAGAAGCACTTTATCTGCCCTTCCATTCTAAATGAAAGCTTTGCTCTAGATAGAGCAATCTTGGATGTAGGTATTTGGATTTCATGACTTGGAATACTTCTTTCCAGTCCCTTCTTACCTGTAAGGTCTCTTTTGAGAAATCGGCTGACAGTCTGAATCAGCTGAACTCCTTTGTAGGGGACTGTCCCCTTATTCTTGCTGCTTCTAAAATTCTCTCCATTTAATCTTGGTTAATGTAATTATGATGTGCCTTGGTGTGTTCCTCCTTGGGTCCAACTTCTTTGGGACTCTCTGAGCTTCCTGGATTTCCTGGAAGTCTATTTCCTTTGCCAGACTGGGGAACTTCTCCTTTATTATTTGTACAAATAAGTTTTCCACTTGTGGCTGTTCCTCTTCCCCTTCTGGCACCCCTAATAATTCTGATGTTGGAACATTTAAAGATGTCCTGAAGGTTCCTAAGCCTCTCTTCATTTTTTTGAATTCTTGTTTCTTCATCCTTTTCTGTTTGGTCATTTTTTCCTTCCTTCTGGTCCACTCCTTTGATTTGAGTCCCAGTTTTCTTTCCATTACTATTGGTTTCCTGTGCATTCCATTCATTTCCATTAGTTTAGCTTTCATATGTTCCTCTAATTTGTGACCAAAATCAACCAATTCTGTGAGCATTCTGATCACCAGTGTTTTGAACTATGCATCTGAAAGTTTGGCTATTTCTTCATCGTTTAGATATATTGGCTCTGGGGCTCTGAGTTGTTCTTGAGCCATGTTTTGATCTGTTTGTGCCTCTTACGTAGGAGGAGCGGAGCCTTAGTTGTTCACTAGGGTGGGGCCACCCAGGTTGCTGGTTTATGATGCTGTATGTGGGGGCGGGGTTAGAGAGGGACAATGGCAGTTCCCTCTGCTACTTCCTGCTGCTGGGGCCTGCGAGGTCCGTTTCACTGCTAGCTCCTTCACTGGTTTATCTGTGTGCGAAAGTGTGACTGCGATCAGCCCTCAGTGGGTCCAACGCCTTGCACCCTCAGTGGGTCCACCCACTTCTCCACACCTGGGATCTGCCCATGGCTGCTGGTGCACCTGGGTCGCACGCCCAGGTCGGTCCGGTGGATCTTTCCTGCCTGACCCTGCTCTGCTGCTGGCTCTGCCCCTCTTACCGGTTTGGCTGAAGGATTCGTTGTTGTCAGACTTCTGTGTAGTTCAATTTTCTGTGGTTTGGCTGTGTTTTTGTTGCTAAAACTTTGTTGTTTTTAAATTAGTTGTGCGAGAAGACGCAGTGCTTCCACCTACGCCTCCATCTTGGCGGAAGTCCCCCTTGTTGGCTGATTCTTGTGTGTGCCCTGACTGGGGAATCCAGCCTCCAACCTTGGCACATTGGTATAAACCTCCAACCAGCTGAGCTACCTGCTCAGGGCATGTATTCTTGACTTAATATTATAAGAACCTTAGAACACTTTAATTCCTATCACCACCTCATTCATCTTCTGTGTTATTGTCATCTAGTTCTTTAGTTCTGCATTTCAAGAATTTCACCTTTATTTGTTTGGGGTTTTTTGGTTTTTGTTTTTTTTTTCACTTCATTTTTAAAGGATGCTTTTTTTTAGGTCAAGAGTTCCAGGTTGGTAGTTATTTTCTGTCAGCATTTTGAAGATGTCATCTTTTGGCTTCTGTTGTTGCTATTGAAAAGTTAGCTGTTTTTTCTTGTTGCTTTTTTTGAAGTTGAAGTTTCTTTTTTTCTCTGTCTTTTAAGATTTTTTCCTCTGCCTTTAGTATTTGGCAGTTTACTGTGATGTACCGTGTATGTGTTTATGTGGGTGTCTTTATCCTGCTCTCCGTTTCTATTGCTTCTTAAATCTTTGGTGCATTTTTTTGTTAGTGTTGGAAAATACTTAGAACATCTTTTCAAATGTTGCCTCCGTTCATCTTCCCTGTCTCCTTTTGTGCCTCTGAATACATACTGTTAGATCTTTTCACTGTGTGCCAATGTGTCTCAGGCTTTTTTCTATACTTTCTGATCTCCATGCCGCCCTCCCTTCAGTCTGGACGTTTTCTGACCTTCCTGCCTCCTTTTCCGTTACGTCTAACACTGTTAACCCAGCTGTTGAATTCCTTAACTTCATACTCGCTTTCTGTTTTCCCTGCTAGAATTTTTTTAAGTATATTTTATTGATTATGCTGTTACAGTTGTCCCAGTTTTTTTCCTTTTTTCCTTCCCTCTGGCAAGCCAGACCCTTAGTTCAGGTCCATGGGTTGTACATATAAGTTCTTTGGCTTCTCTATTTCTTATGCTATTCTTAACACCCCCTTGTCTACTTTGCTTCTTAATCCCTGTACCTTCTCCCCCCATTCTTCCCTTTTCCCTTCCCCACTGATAACCCTCCATGTGATCTCCATTTCTATGATTCTGTTCTTGTTCTAGTTGTTTGCTTAGTTTGGTTTTGCTTTTTTAGATTCAGTAGTTGATAGTTGTTCATAGTTTTGATCTTATTTTTCTTAAATAAGTCCCTTTAACATTTCATATAATAAGGGCTTGGTGCTGATGAACTCTTTTAGCTTTACCTTATCTGGGAAACACTCTATCTGTTCTTCCATTCTTAATGATAGCTTTGCTGGACAGAGCAGTCTAAGTTGTAGGTCCTTGCTTTTCATCACTTTGAATACTTCTTGCCCGTCCCTTCTTGCCTGCAAAATTTCTTTTAAGAAATAAGCTGATAGTCTTATTGGAAGTCCTTTGTAGATAACTCTCTTCTTTTTTCTTTTGTAAAGATTTTGTTTATTTTCAGAGAAGGGAAGGGAAGAGAGGGTGAGAAACATCAATGTGTGGCTGCTTCTCTCATGCTCCCTCCTGAGGACCTGGCCCACAACCCAGGAACGTGCCCTGACTGGGAATCAAACCAGCAACCCTTTGGTTAGCAGGCTGACACTCAATCCACTGAGCCACACCAGCCAGGGCTTCTCTTGCTTCTTTTAAGATTCTCTCTTATCTTTAACTTTGGCATTTTAATCATGATATGTCTTGGTGTGGCCCTCTTTGGGTCCAACTTTTTTGGGACTCTCTGTGCTTCCTGGACTTATATGTCTTTCCTTCAACAAATTAGGGAAATTTTCTTTCATCATTTTTTCAAATAAGTTTTCAATTTCTTGCTCTTCCTCTCCTCCTTCTGGTTTCCCTGGGATTCAAATGTTGGCACGTTTGGAGATGTCCCAAAGTCTTCTTATTCTCTCCTCATTTTTTTTGAATTTTTGTTTCTTCATTTTGTACTGGTTGGCTGTTTATTTTTTTCTCATGTTCCAAATTGATTATTTGTACCCCAGCTTCCTTCCCTTCACTGTTGGTTCCCTGTGGATTTTTCTTGATATTACTAAGTATAGCCTTCATTTCTTCCCTTATGCATTTGCCAAACTCAGTGAGTTTTCTGAGCATCCTTATCACCAGTGTTTTGAACTCCATATCTGATAGATTGGCTGTCTCTGTTTGGTTTAGTTCTTTTTCTGGAGTTTTGTTCTGTTCTTTCATTTGGGCCACATTTCTTTGTCCCCTCAATTTGGCAGCCTCCCTGTGTTTGTTTCTGTGTATTAGGTAGAGCTGCTTTGACTCCCTGTCTTGGTGTACCTGTTACCTTATAAGGGATGGAGCCTTAGGGATTTGCCAGGACGGGGCAACCCCCTCCACTGCTTTGTGGTGCTACAGGTGGGGGAGGGGTCAGAGAGGGAACAGTGCCATTAGCTGGGCTCTTCCCCCACTCCCAAGTGCTGGTGGTACCCTTCTAGCTGCTGCCCTGGTGCTGAATCCCAGAGTGGGTGAGTTTGTATATGTTTTAGGACCATGTAGTTCCTTTAAATGGACTCTTCTGAGAGACCAGCAGTTTCTTCTGCTGCCCCAACCCCCACTGGTTTTTACAGCCAAAAGCTATGAGGCTTTATTTTCCTGGCACTAGAACCCTGGGCTGTGAGCTGTGGCCCGGGGCTGGGATGACTCGCTCCCTGGGTGTCCTCCCTGGTTTTTATCTGCCAGGCATGACTGTGGCACCACCTGTTCTGGGGCATCGCCACTGCCACACTGCGTCCTCTCTGCCCTAGCTCCCTGTCTCTGCCTCTCCTACTTGCCTGGGTGATATTTCTTCTTTAAATCCTTGGTTGTCAGACTTGCATACAGTTTGATCTTCTGGCATCTCTGGTGGTTTTTTGTTTTGAGGTTGTGATCCTTCTTATGGTTGCATGAGGAGGTGATGACGTGTGCACCGGCCTGCAGTGCCCACAGCGTCATGGATGAGACATGAGACAAATTCACGCGGACTACCCAGTCCTGTGGAGGAAAAGGGACCACATGACTACTCCCTCAAGGGGGGAGCGTCTCAGAGCGGCTTGGCCACCCTCTCAAGGGGAGAGAGCCTCGGAGTGGTCTAGCAACTATCTCTCGAGGGGAGAGGGCGCTGACCCTTGCCTAGACAGACTTTTATTAGGTTTAATTTGCGCAGGAATACAGGCAAAGTTTATTAATCATTGTCAGGCAGTAAGGATCAAACAGTAGCACACAAAGAACTATGAGGGCCTATTCTAGGTCAGGGTCTGTTAGCTAAAGGGCTGCAAAACTTTGGGAAACAAATTCATTTCCCACTCAGACCCATATCATTTAATTGAGAGCATTCTTATCAAAGCAGGTTTCACAGGATTTTACATATTCTTTCTCAGGCCTGATCACCCGGGGAGCCCACCCTTTCCAGCACAGGGCTGCACTGCCCTCTTGCATTGTTTCAGGCTTAAGTCAGGCAGAGGAGGCAGATAGCCAAGAAATTTAGGAGACTTCTCGAAGACAGACTGAGGACTCAGGCTTTGTCAAAACCGAGGGGCAAGGGTCCATCACCCCCTTTTCCCGCAGACCCCCAAGTCCTTCCCTGGGGCCTCCACATGATCATACCTGTCTTAGGTTGTTCCCCCCTTGGGGAATCTTACTTGTCATTGGCTAACCAACCAAGCATTGGGGGCCAGTTATGGAAAAAGGAGCAGAAGCGGTGCTCCTGCCAGGGAGATAAGCTTCGTCTCCTTAGTAGCTTATGGTCTGAAGGTCACTCACTCAGCCTTAGCCATGGGAGGTTACAGCTCCTGAAACCAGGCAGGGCGGCTCCCAATAAGGTGAAGCGTGTTTACCTGTGCCTCCATCTTGGCCAGAAGTCCACTTTTAGAATTTTTATTTTTGTGTGCGTGTGTCAGGTTTTTTCCTAAATTCTCCATTCTGTTATCTGATTACTTGGACATACTAATTATACTTATTTCAAGGTCTGTGTCTGGCTGACTGGGTAGCTCCGTTGGTTGGAGCATCATCTCCTTACCCCAAAGTTGCAGGTTTGAACTCCGTCAATCAACCAATAAATGCAAAAATAAGTAGAACAGCAGAAATCAACATCTCTCTCTGCCCCTCCGTACCCTCTCTCTAAAAATCAGTTAAAATATTTTTTAAAGTTAAAAATATTTTAATCCAAATTTTTAGTTTATTGGAATGGCTCTCTACTCATCATTCTTCCAGAGAAGTTTTGTGTGTGTAGCTGCCAGATACCCAGGGATATCATTGGCTACATAATCAGTTTTTATGTTAATTTCTTAGCTTAGGAATGCTCTCATACCGGTACAATAAATTCTGTATCCACATTTGCATATAATGTGGGCTCAGGGCTTTAATTTTTCAGTTTTCTTTTGGTGTTTTTATTTTATTTTTCCCACTTAGAGCTCTAGTCAGAGAGAAGCTTTATCTCCAGGTTGGCGGGCTGTTTTCTAGTCTCCCATTCCTGCAGGTGCAGGACCTTTTGTGGTCATAGCTTTATTCCGGGATTTGAGTTCCAGCTCCCAGAGGGTTCAAGGTCTTAGGAAGAGCCCAGCTCCTGGCCGTGAGACCCTATTTCTGAATCCCTCCGTCATTCCTTACGCTTGCTGTTGTAGCAGGTTGTGTTCCTTCCATCTGGTTTTAGTTTCTTCCCCCTTTCTGGCATCTAAGGATTTACCTTTCTGGTGAACTAGGATAACATATGTAAAAGTGTGCGTATGTGTCTGTGTGTATTACATTCTGTGCAGCACTTCCAGATGTGGGTAGTGGGAGTGGTTTTACATTAGCTCTGCCCATTGCGTTGCCAAAAGCAGACGTCTTCTTTTGATTTTTCAGTGTAAATTGTATTGCAAAATAGTAAGCGAACTCACAGGAAAGGGATGTTATTTCTCCTGAGGATTTCAGGCCGGAAGCGTGAGGAGAACGAGTGCATTTGGAGGTGCTAGGCGTGGTGGCCGTGGCAGCTGTCCCCACGACTCGTCTAGTCTAGGCCGGAGCTGCAGGGGAAGCAGTGAGTCGGGATCTTTTCTGTTAGGAACATGGGAAAGGGAAGCAGATGGGACTAACCCCTCACCTGTTCTAGGATTAGAGACAAGAAGTTTGGGCGCAAAGGCTTCAACTGCCTAGGAATTATTAGGCTGTGGGGAAAAGTCATGAATGTGTGTGTGCTCTTAGGGTGACTTGAAACTCCTCGGGTGGGAATCTCCCTAAAATTGTGTGTGTACAGGGGCCAGGGCTTGTTCATCTGTTTTCTCACTCTTGCTGTCTGGGATCAGCATAACTAGCTCGCTGTGGCAGTAACAGAGATGGGCACGGGGGAGGGGAGGATGGGCCAGAAAAGACAGGTGATTATCTTGGCTAGGTTCAAAGACGACAGTGTTGCCCTGGCTGGTGTGGCTCAGTGGACTGAGTGCCAGCCTGCAAACCAAAGGGCCACTGGTTCGATTCCCAGTCAGGGCACATGCCTGAGTTGCAGGCCAGGTCCCCAGTGAGGGACGTGTGAGACACTGTCACACACTGATGTTTCTCTCCCTCTTTTTCTCACTCCCTTCCCAATTTTCCCTGTTGCAGCTTAGAACAAAAACCAGTCCCCATGTCTCAGTAAGGGTTTCTTGCCCATCTTCAGGATATATAATAATTTCAGAGAAATTTCTTTCTTCTGAGATTCAGACCTAACTTTACTCTGCTATGAAGCTCACGATTTTCTGGTAAATCATGTTATTCATCCTTGTGTCACCAGGACTTAGCATATTACCCAGCTTATGTGAATAGTAGGAGTGAAGCTCTGGCTGGTGTGGCTCAGTGGATTGAGCACTGGCCTGCGAACCAAAAGGTCTCTGGTTGGATTCCCCTTTGGGGCACATGCCTGAGTTGCAGGCCAGGTCACATGGGTTGCAGGCCAGGTCCCTGGTTGCGGGCATGTGAGAGGCAGCTCTTTCTCTCTCACACAATGATATTTCTCTCTCTCTCTCTCTCTCTATCTCTTTCCCTTCCTCTCTCTCTAAAAATAAATAACATCTTTTAAATTTAAAAAAATGGTAGGAGTAAAGAAAATGTTTGTAAAAATGAGTTATTTTCCATTTTCCAAATCATTTTCACCTTTCATACAGGGTATCTTAAAAACAGGAGTCAGGTGGGTGGGCTGGGATGGGAGTAAAGGAAAACTATACTTGAACAACAATTAAAACAAAATTTAAAAAAACAATAGGAGTCAATTTTATATATATTTATCTTTCTTTTCTAGCTCAGACTATGACCGACTTCATACCTTGGCAACTGAAAACTGTTTTCCGGTAGGTTCCCACCCTTAGAATTGTGGGATGCTGAAGGGCAGATTGCAGGCATCTCCTTTGGTGTTCTTAAGAAGGATCAGTTTTGAAAGTGCAGGAAGTTGAAAGCAAAAGCTGAAGTTCCACTGTTTTTGTTTGAATGATAATGACTTGACGTGGACGCTGCAAAGGGCCGTGCGGATGAGGAAAGGGGCGGTCCCCCAGCAGGCAGTGCTGTGACCTCAGGTACGGACCCTGAGGTCCCCACTGGGCCAGCCCGAGCTGGCCTGCACTGGAATAGAGGATTTAACGAGAACTCCCGAGCCTCACGTCGTATGGTAACAGGTGCTGGGGACTTTGGGAGTTCTCCGGGAGGGAGACTTTGTGGTTTAAGAATAAGAACTTTGGTTTCTGGCAGTTCAGCCATATCTCCCTAGGGACAGGGAGAGTTAACCTTGTCTTAGTAGTTTAGCCCTTTATATCCCTGTAAAATCACAACCTCCTCTGCTAAAAGGTGGGGGAGGGGCAACACATATGCAGTCAGCAAAAATACATGTAATAATTACCAGGGTATGAAGATGTATGGGAGGGGTAAGGGTGTATTAGGTAAGTCGGCAATTTGGAGTGTGGTTTTCGTTGGTTTGGAGGAGTCCCTGAGGAGGGAGGTGGGTCTTGAGTTGTGATTTAAATGAAAGAGTTGTTGTGAGGTAGGCTTGAGCAATAGCTTAATCGAAGCCTAGAATGAGCCCTGGCTGGTATAGCTCAGTGGATTGAGTGCGGACCTTCAAACCAAACAACTGCGGTTCAATTCCCAGTCAGGGCACCTCCCTGGGTTGCAGTCCAGTTCCCAGTAGGGGACCCACGAGAGGCAACCATACATTGATATCTCTCTCCCTCTCTCCTTCCCTTCCCCTCTAAATATTTTTTTTAAAAAAAACAAAGCTTAGAATGGTGCAAAAGTTGTCACATGAAAGCATTTGATGGAAAGGTTGCACTTGGGCTGTAGCACTACAAGAAGTGAGCCAGTGTGGAAGGAAGCCCCAGCTTCTCTAGAGGGAGGAAGAAACTCAGTAGAACTTGTTTTCCTCTCCTCTCAGGACATGGTCTGGGACATCCAATATAAGACCGTCCGCTGGAGCTTCGTAGAATCTCTAGAGCCACCCCAGGTGGTTCAGGTTCGCTGTTCAAGTATGCTGACCCAGGGCAACATATACGGCCAGATCACCGTCCGCATGCATACCCGTCAGGTAGGGGCATCAGTCTGCTCTCCTCCCGGCTTTTCGTCACTCTCAGGGTGGGTACCTATCTCTGGGATTGTGGCCGCTGCTGCCCAGGACTGGGTTCACCGGGGTCTTCCTTGCTCTGTCACTACGCCCTTCCCACTGCTAGAAGTCAGCTCTACTAAGACAGATGCACGCATATTCTTCCCCACCCTTCCTGGTACCGACTTCCTCCTTCCTCCCATCCCCAGTCCAAAAAAAAAAACACCTCTAAGAGTGAAGTATCAGTAGTTGGTCAGTTAGTCTAGATTCAGAATGCAGCAATGGTTTGTTTCTACCCGTTAAAATATTTTGTTATGGCCCTTGTAAAAATGTTTGTGTGCAGAAAAACAAAAACTGGGCCTGGCTCAGTTGGTTGGAGCGTCACCCTTTACAACAACAAAAGGTGGCGGGTTTGATCTCCGGTCAGGGCACATACCCAGGTCACAGGTTAAGTCCCGGGTTGGGGCGTGTACAGCAGGCAACTGATCGATGTTTCTCTTTCTCTCTCCCCTCCCTCCCCCTTCTCTCTCTCAAATCAGTAAACCTATCCTTGGGTGAGGATTAAAAAAACAAAGCGCACGAAACAAAACAACTCTGAGGACTAACAGGCCAAACATGCTCTCTGCCTTGCAGACTTTGGCCATCTATGACCGGTTTGGCAGACTGATGTATGGACAGGAAGACGTACCCAAGGATGTCCTGGAGTATGTTGTTTTTGAAAAGCACCTGACAAACCCCTATGGGAGCTGGAGAATGCATGGCAAGATCGTCCCTCCATGGGCACCCCCTAAGCAGCCCATCCTTAAGGTAAGGTAACTTGTCTGGTTTAAGAGAGCTGAGGCCTGCCCTGCCTGGTGTGGCTGAGAGGGTTGGGCATCATCCTGCAGACTGGAAGGTCCCCAGTTTGGTTCCTGGTCAGGGCACATGCATGGGTTGTGGGCCTTTGAGCGGCAACCGGTTGCTGTTTCTCTCCCCCTCTTCCTCCCTTCCCCTCTCTCTAAAATGTAGATAAATAAAATGCTTAAAAAAGAGAGCGGTGGCTCTACTAGTGGCATCTTAAGCAGGTCCTGCTGGGCGCCACCTAGTGGAGAGAGGTGGTGATGCAGCATCACAGAAGGGGAATCCTCCTATTAGGATTGGGCATGAAGGTGAGGGTGATCTTTTCTGTGCAAGCCATCGGCTTGGATGAAAGATAACTCAGCTTCCTGTTCTTTCAGACGGTGATGATCCCTGGCCCCCAGCTGAAACCGTGGGAAGACTATGAAGAACTGCGAGGAGAGGCCCATAAGCCTCAGCTAGCCTGATGACAAAAGTGATTCCTGGGGTGAAGTGTGGGTGATGAGGTGGCTGGCATCTGTGAAGTCACGCATCTCCATCATGCTGTCGAAAGAATCACCTCTGTTCTCTCCTCTTGTGCTGGGGTCTTTCCAGCAGTCTCATCCTCAATATCCACAGCTGAGGGCGAGGCCCGGGTCCGGGGGCTGCCCTGCACAGCCCTGGACCCTCTTTCTCTTTTTTAAGTTTTATATCTACCTCCTGGGCCTAGATGAAAGACACTTTGTTTCAGAGAACATCTGACACCTGTCTTTCCCATAGCAGGGACTGTCAGGAGCAAACTAGTAGAATTTTCTTATCACAGGACAGGCATCAGAGTTTGAGATAAAACAGTCTAAGTGTTTTGGATCAGTTGTGGTGGGTTCTGTCCATATTCCCTGGTTCGGGTTAGAAGTAGACCAGCCTTCAAATGGCAGAAATGGAAGACAGGTTTAATTGTGAGTGGTGTGACTTCCAGGAAATGGAGACTTTGGGAAAATAGTGTTTATAAGAGATGGTATAATTTAAGAGGGTCTTTTGTCACACATTGACTCACTGAATCAGCATTTGTATTTCACAGAAGAATGTAAATTCAAAGAAACAATTTATCCCCCAGCCTTTGGATTGTGTTTTTAATTATCAGCTGCATCCCCAGGTGATCCTGGGAAGCATGGGGGAAGGAAGGGGCCGTGGAGAAGTTCGTACATATGGGTGATCCATCTGTAAGCGTTGATTCCCTGACTTCTAGCACCTTTTGGAGACGGCGACCATTCAGCCCAACACTGGAAAGGCAAGGATACCAGAATATGGACCTGTGTAGAGCGGAACAGCCTGGCCCCTCTCTGTTCCTTAGTTCCAGCCAGGCTGTCAGGAGGAGCAAGTGGAGCTTCACAGGCCCATGTGGGCTGGGTCGTCGGAAGTCATGACAAAGGAAATCGCTGTCCCAGCAGCAAGCTTGGCTTACAGTACTGTTGCTTTTGTCAGCCCAGTGTGGCCTTCCCTTGAGAAATAGGATCTTAATTCACATACTGTCTACTTTTCAAGCCTAGAATGTCATTTAAGGAGTCTGTAAATTAGGTTAAGGATTAATCTGTTCTGACCTTGTGCTGAAAGAAGAGTCCAAAGAACCCAGAATCAGGCGGAGACTAAGCTAACTCCTCAGTCTCTCTCAACCGTCCCAGCAAAGCCTCGAGCAGACCAGGCTTCACTGGAGAGAAGGGCTATCTGGACAACAGCTGCTGAGCGCAGACTGCAGAGCCGAGGGGCGCATGCCCAGGAAAGAGGCCACACTGGCGGGCCATCCAAAGCAGCCACTCTCATCGTGCTGCTTAGTTTCAACCCCTTAGGCTTAAAGTGCACATCATTTTACAGCCCAAGTGGATTGGGTCATATCCTATTTGTGTGAGTGCTGGATTAGGACAAAATGAGATGGCAAAAAAGTGTTTTGAGCAGGATCCACAGCCATAAAGAGGAAAGGTAAGTGATCCAGGCTGGGTAGGGAAGCAGAGCAACAAAGCACACTTACTGGACAAGCAATACATTGATTGCTCTGAGTATGTGGAAACCGCTTTAAATAAGCTGTTCCACCCCACTCCCCCAGGTCTGCTTCCTGGGTCTCTAGGTAATCCTAAATAGCAGCTAAGCAATTGCTGCTGCCAGGGAGCCAGAGGATAAGTGCAATTTTCATTTCCCCGGGGAATCAAATCCAGCTGAGTGAAGGGCCCAGACACAGGATTGGCCACAGGGCCAGGCAAGTGATCGTCGGCAGTGCCAGCCAGGGAGCTGAAGTCCCAAAGGCTGCAGTGCTGTGACCTTGGGCTTCAGAGCAGGCGTTGTTTTTCTTCCTGTTAATATGTAAAAACATTGGAAAAAAATCACAATAATGAATATGCTAGAACCAACTGCCAAGAAAAAGCATTATTTTTCCCCCCAAGGTTTATTTCACAGCGGTGGGTATCAGGACAGCATTTTTGTTCCCAGCTAGACCAGACCTGATGGGATTGTTCTGAGGTGCTCGTTAGTGAAATTTGCACTGGCTTGGAAGCTGTGGGGTTAACCAGCCAGAACCCAGAGCAGCAACACACTTCTTACTTCTCTGAAAGGCCAGGGCAAGGGACCTAGGTAAGTGGAAGGGCCTCGCTATGGGAACAAGGGTATCTAGTCCCTGAAAAAGCGGGCCACTCCATTCTTTTCCCTCCTCTTTGGGACTGGAACCGTGCTACTCTTTCTGCGATTTGCTGTATCTGCCTGCAGTGTTCACATGCAGGCTCATTTCTTCCCCATTGGGCATTTGGTCTGTGTGGCCTTTCCTTCTCACAAATGGCATCAGTGTCTGTCCAGTCAGCAGGCGGGTTTACTGCCATCATTGGTACCCCTGTCCAGGTCTGCCACGTTTCGCCTGCTTGTCCGCACCCCCACTCACCCCTGCCAGTCCTGGGACTTCTTTGACCCATGTTGTTCTCCTTCATTTCCCTCTGGTAGTATCATCTAATTCCAGCGCTCTGTTATCTGGGATTGCTTAAGTAGAGGCAGCCTGAACTGACGAGAGAACAGAGCCAAGCTGAGACCAAGGGAGAGCTCCCTGGGAAAAGGACTTTGTGCTTACATGATGCTCTTTCCCTGGCCCTCAGGCCTCCGGCCTGCCCTGCAGCGCTGCTCGGCTCCAGTGCTGGCTGTGAACAGGACCGCCTTTCTTTCTCGGACTTCTCCGGAAGGAGACTGATGCGGGCCTCGTTACTGAGCAGGTGATTTGGACTGGCTCTCACATCAGAACCAGAGATTCCTCCTGGCTCCAGCTGCATTGACAGCAGAGAGGGGTCCCTCTAATGACAGCACTGAAAGACTAGGAGGGGGAGAGTGAGCCAGTGAGATGAACTCTGGAGACGCAAAGACGAGCAGGAAGAAGGGGAGGCCATCTAAAAAGCTAGCAAGAGGCAGGCCACTTAACCTGGGAGACGGGGTGTCTAGAAGGGAGAGCTCGACCTTGGCCAGCACGGAGAGAGCCTGGAGTGATTGCCTTTTCTTCGCTGCGCTGTCTCTGACACTGCTTCGGGTGCCAGATGATGGGGATATAAGAGCATTTGACTGGCTCTGCTTCAGTAGCTGGGCAGGGCAGGTGAGGATCAATTAAGCAGACACTGGAGAGCCAAAGGCAAAATGACAAGATCTTTAAGGCATTTCAGGTATGACTTCTGAGCTATTTATTTTTTTAAGGATTTTACTTATTTTTAGAGAGGGGAGAAAGAGGGAGAGAAACAGATCAGTTGCCTCACACACACCCCCAACAGGGGACCTGGCCCCAAACCCAGCACCTACCCTGACTGGGAATTGAACCATCGACCTTTCAGTTCCCAGGCCAGCAATCTACTGAGTCACACCAGCCACACCTTTTGAGTCATTTAGGTTTTTTCTTTTATTTATCTTTGAACTTGAATTAAGTGGTTTCATAAGCTTCTATGGTGACTATAACCTTCTGTGACCCTCAGTTCCTATGTAGCCATTGCCTTGCATGATTTCATTTCTTCTCAAAAGAAAAAAAAAAAAGTTGTCGACTGCAGAGAACAATAGGGTCTCCCTATAAGAAAATGTGGTCGGGACACTGCTGACCTCTTTTCGTCCTCAACTTGGCTTTCCAGGTGAGTGGCACGGATGGAGCACTTGTGTTGAGTGCGCCAGCTGGATAGGAGGGTTCTTAGAAGCCGAGGGCCTAGGCTTTGTTCCCCGCAGCAGGAAGAAGTGGAAGTGAAGAGAGGCCGCAACTTCCTGTTGGGGGTCGAGCTGCACCCTTCTGTGTAATTTGTCTTGAGTGAATTGACTTCTGGCCTTCCCGGAGACCAGAAGTGGCCAGGTATCTTTGTTTCAGCTCTAGAGCTTGGAAAGGACCTTGGCTGTTGAAAGCCAGCCACCCTGTGTTTGACCTCATCCCAGTTTAAACTGGGAATTGTTATTCCCAGTCCCAAGGATAGACAGTTGGAGGGATGAGTTCTTCATGTGTCCCTTTGGAAGCCACTTCTCCTCTGTCTTCAGTTAGGGAAGAAGAATTCCGAGCCTCAGCTTCTTGGAGACTTGGCCCTGAGGTTAAACTGGTCCTTGGCCCAAGTCCTGAAGGTCCTTGGAATTCTCTGAAATCTCCCAGAATAAAAGAACTGGTTGGCTTGCTCACCTTGGGGTGGGGGCTTTTGCTTTCTGGAAGGAAGCAACCCAGAGGTCTTTGGACCGAAAGGCATGGCGGGTTCTCAGGGTCACCGGGGAAACATATTTTGGTCTGGGTTGCTGTTAAAGCCAGGAGGCCGGATTCTTCAGATGAGGCTCCAGTTCCCTCCCAAGGACAGATGTCTGCCATGGTCCCCTTTATTCTATTTCCTTCTGGATCTGTGACTTCCCACTGGCACAGCTCTGCCATCCTGCTCCCCACACTACTTGCCCCATGGGCACTGACTGTGTCCTGGTCTGCACCCAGAGCATCTGGCTGGGGGGAGAGCCCCCCCAGACCCGTGCCCTCCCTCCCCTGCTCCCTGCTGCCCTTTGCCGCTGCTTTTGAGAAGTGTTCTTCAGTCCCTCCAGACCCTGCCTTTTGAAGGAGCAGCTCTCCCTGCCCTTGGGGCTTTCTCTCCACCGCCTGTTCTGGGCCACCTTCCTCCCCTTCTGCTTCACTCGTCTCCCCAGAGCATGTTTCTGCTGTCTTGGCTGAGGGCCCCTCTACTGCTTCCCACGGACACACTTCTGCTACCCTGGCCTCCACGCTGCCTATTGCATCCGAAGTGACTTTGCTTCTGTCAGAAGCTCGTGGGGCTGGCTGTGGAGACAGACCTCGGCCATCCTGACCGTCCCAGGGACACACGGCCTCCTGTTTCCCATCTGCCCTCTCTGGCTCTTTCCGAACTACCCCAACTAGGGGCTCAGGTTTGTCTGAGGCTTTCCCCTCGCCCCCTTTCCCGTTCTGTATCGACACTCCTTCTGCAGGGATTCTTTCAGTCACCTCCCAAGGACAGACCTCCACTTTGGCGCTGCCGTTAGGCCGATGAGCAGCTGGGGCTGGAGGGTCCCAGGGGCACAGCTCAGCGTGCCCGCCCCCCACACTGACCAGTTGGCTATGGCAGTGACTTCCGGGTTGGGAGGAAGGGCCTGCAGGGGCGGTGCTCTCCCAGGGACACACGGACTGTAGCTCATTTTCTCTTTCCCCATCTTCAGTAGGGCCTCCTGCTTGTGAAGATGAAGGTCTTTCTTGGGTTATGTGTTCTTGGAGGGAACCAATTTTAGGGTCTTGTATCAGGTTCCCTTTCCCTGCTACCTCATCAATGACGTCCAAGGACCGTTCCTCCACCACTTGGCTCCTCATGCCACAGGATGAGCCTGAGATCTCAAAGGCCCGAGGACAGGGTCCCCTCGAGTCCTCCTCCCAAGGACAAACAGCTTCCTGCTGCTGACTCAGTTTTGTCTCTCCTCTTGATACTCCTTCTTCCAGGGAGGTGAGGGTCCCCCTGTCTGGAATTCGCTCCCTCTGCCCTGCTGACTCGTTCCCCATCTCTCCTTCCAGTCCCTCCCCAGGCGCTCCTTCATTCACCTCCCAGGGACAGATCTGGGGCCGTTCGCTGGCAGACGCGTCCTCCACTTCCCAGGGGCACACCTCAGCTGGCCTGCGCCCCGCAAGGCCCAGTTCCTGGAATCCAGCCTTCGGTCTGTCAGTATCCACAGTGCCTGAGTGCTGAGGGTTGTCCCCCAGATCCACGCTCTCCCGGGGACAGGCCACCTCCCGCTCCCGGGCCGGCCTCCCAGGCTTCTTTGGAGCAGTAACAGCTATGCGCACAGGTCCAGAGTCTGCAGAATCCTTTTCTGTGACGTTGGGTGGCCTCCTCAAGGCCTCGAGTCCCGAAGCGTGTCCCTCCCCTGCTCCAGCACTCACCTCCCAGGGACAGACCTCTGCCTTCTCAGCAGACAGGCTGTCCTCCACGTCCCACGGACAGATGACAGCGGTTTGGCCTCCCGCCCCACCTGACACCTGGAGACTGGCACGGGGCCTATCTATGCGTTGAGGAAAGCTGCCAGGGTCCGCACTCCCCCAAGAACAGGCGACTTCCTGCTTCTGGAGCTGTCCCTCAGGCTTTTCCCAAGCTGCGACATCTTTGATTCCTGATGTTTCAGACATTTCCTCCTTGTCCTTTTGAGGTTCCTCTCCTTTGGGCACCTGTCGAGATATCCAGTCCTCTGTTCTTTCGTTTACCTCCCAGGGACCGATTTCTGCTTTGGCAGGTGTGGCTGCCTTCGACTCTGGCCTGAGGTCTTCCCGTGGACATACCTGCGTGGCTCTGCTTCCTCCATTGCTGAGGAGCTGGCCACCAGCTCTGGGTGAGGAATCGTCCACAGGAGGGCTGGAGGGCCCACGGGCTGTGCCCTCCCAGGGACACACTGACCCCTCCCGTGGGCTGGGTGTCTGCACTGCCTTCCCACTTTGCTCCCCCATCTCTCCAAAGAGCCCCTTCCCGGAGGCTTGCCCCTCTCCTTGGAGAGATTCTCCCCCCACCCCCTCAGCTGGCGTTTCCTTCCTCACTACCTCAGCACCCAGCTCCCAGGGACAAACCTCTGCTTTCCTGAAGGTGGGAGCCTCTTCTGCCTCCCAGGGACACACCTCCGCAGGGTTCCCTGAGCCCTCCGGGGCTCCTGGGGCCTCAGTGGAGATTGCTAAGGGGCCACGGAAATCCGTGCTCTCCCATGAACAAAGAGACTCCAGGTCTCTGCCAGGTTTCTGTCCTTTCCAGAAGGTCGCTTTCCTGGGGGTTTTCTGCTTTTCCTGGGGGAGTTCCTTCACTCCCTCATGGGACAGCTTCTCATTCTCTCCTTCATTTGCCTCCCAAGGACAGAGCTCTGCCTTGGCAAAGTTGGGTGTACAAGCTTGCGGAGTTGTGACTTTCTGCGGACATCTCTCCACCTCTCTGACCTGCATACTGCCCCCTGCCTCCGACCTGCCCTTGGTTCGCTCAGAGCCCTGAGGGGCTGGCTGAGGGGATGGGCCCCTGGGATCGGCATTGTCCCAGGGACACACTGCCTCCTGCTCCCTGACCAGCCTCTCTGGCTTTTTCTGAGCAATGGCAGCCACACCTTTGGGCTCTGATTCTCCTGGGGCTTTCCTTCTCTCTTCTTGGGAGTCACCTGGATCTTGTCTCAGTGGCCCCCTCTCGGGGCCTCCTTCACTCACCTCCCAGGGGCAGATTTCAGCCTTGCTACTGTCAGGCAGACACGTTTCCGATGCGGTAACTTCCCAGGGGCACACCTCTGCCACCCTGCAGTCAGCACTGCCCACGGGCTGCAGGCCAGCTTTGAGCTGTTCCTGCCTCCCTCCCAGGGCTTCTTTTGCTTGCTCAGCCTTTTTGTCCCCAACCGTGCCCTGCCTGACTTGCCTCAGTGTGGCAGGCTCTGTTTTACCGGCTTTCTCAGCATTGCCCTCCCCTTGACCCTGGGATGTCCTCCTGCCTCCGTCATCCTGTTCCTTGCTGGCCTCCTGGTGACGGACGTGGAGCATCCTGCTGGTATAAGCATTCTGCTGGTTCTGGAGGGACTCCTCATCTTCACAGGGGGCGAGAGCCGCCTGCTTGCTCATCACCTTGCGCCCACCGAGCCTGGGGGATCTGGGGCATGCACCCACTCCCTCTCCTGCAGCTCTGCCCTTCTCCCCCTCAGGACTCCCCTCCCCGCTCTCCTTTTCTCTGTGTGTGCTCCGAGACCGGGTCAAAGCTTTGATGGCCAGTCCCAGGCTGCGCACAGAGCCCTGCTGAACAGGGGTCTTGAGGCTGTGCGATTTAGAGAAGATCTTGGACCTGTCCTCCTCCACATTATCAGTTTCCCCCTGGAGATGCCTGTCCTCTGTGTTCACCCCATTGTCCCCAGCACGCTTTTTCTCTACTGCAACCGAGAGAGCCCTCCAGAGCCTGGCTCGAGCCGGGGCAGGGGAGTGGCTGCCTTGCTCTGGCCCCAAGGAGCCTTCTTGTGCCACATTTTCTTTCTTGACTGGCAGTTCTGCATTCTCCCAGGGGCAGATGAAGGTGAGAAAGCTGGGGCTTTGGGGGGTTACTGGGACTTGTGCTAGGACTGGGACTGGGGCCAGACCTGGGGCTGAAGCTGGTATCAGAGCTGGCGCCAAGGTGGGAGTGGGAGAAAGCATCCTTGGCTCCCCGAGGCAAGCCCCGGACAGGGCTTTGGTGGGTGTGGAGACCTGGTGCTGGATGGGGGGGTGAGGCGGCCTTCCCCCAGCCCCCTCCGGAAGCCTCCCAGAGGCTCGGGAGCTGTCCCTGCTGCTGCTCTTGGCAGGGGAAGGTGGGGCCGACAGAGGTGGTCCTCGCGCTCGCTCCAGCCTCCTGGCCGACAGCCTCTGAGCTGGGCTCGCCAAGGCCGCCTCTGCCTTTCTTCTCTCCTCTTGCTCCTTTGCCTGCCGATAGGTCTCCTCCAGGTACGCCTGGCTGGCCATGAGCAGCGCCTTTTCACTGGAGCCAGCCATGACGCTGAGCGACTTCTGCAGGGAGGCGGGCCGGGCTCGGGGGAGCCTCTCTCCCACTGTCAGGTTGTGGGCGCTGGCTGACCTAAAGCCCAGGGCAGGCGGCCCCTCCGCTGACTCCCGGCTTTCTGTCCGGGAGGACCTCTTGGCCAGCTTCCTCCTGGGTAGTGAGTCGAGGAGAGGGGCGTCCTGCGCCCTGCGGGGGCTGCGGTCATAGGTGCTGTGGGCCTTGCGCAGGGCTGGCGGCCCCTCAGGCTCCTGGAGGCTGGAGCTGAGGAGCCTGCGGCGGGAGGAGCCGGGCAGGCTGCGGAGGCTGGGGGAGACGGGGTCCCGGGAGTGCTGGCGCGCCAGGGCCTCGGGGAACTCAGCCAGGCACCTCACCAAGGAGCGGCCCAGGCCCTGGCGCCAGCTGCCCTGCTTCTTGGGCAGGTGGGGGTTGTTAGCAGCCATTTCCTTGGTCTTGTGGACCTCTAGCTGGGCATAGAGTTTCTTCAACTCGTCCTGGGGGCCAGGAGGAACAAGGAGAGCAGAGCTGACATTGGGACGAATGGGCTAGTCGCCACCCTCTGGCTGCACCATTTTCGCCCTCGGCCCTTACTAAGACCATTTTCTCGGGGGGGGGGGTCTGTTTCCCACCAAGCAGTGTCCCTTCCTTGCCTTTAACCCTCCCAGAATTCACCTGATTCCTGGCTAGACCCACTCAGCTCTGAGGACGCAGCATGTGCTTCCCTCGGGGTGGGGGGGGCACTGTGGCCTGCCGGGTGGTCACCAACTTGGGGGAGACCTGAGTTTGAGGCTGCTGACCCCTCACGTGCTTCAAGGCTATTTTCTCCACCTCCCTGAGCCTCTGCTTCTGTGAAAGAGCAGTGACTGGCTGCCTGGAGTGAGCTTTCTGAAGGGGATTGTATGAGATTCATGGGACCTGTGGGCATGAGAAGTGCCACATTCAGGTGTGAATGATACAGTGGGGCTTCGAAAACCTTTTACACTTTGGATTTCTCCCCAGGACCAACACAGAGAGAGTGGACTGGGGTGGCGTGGCAGTGGTCTGCACACTCTTGGGGTCCCTGCTGGATTGGGGTTTCGGTTCGGCCTACACTCAGGGGCAGGAGGCCGGGCAGGCTCAGAGAGTGTGAAGGGCACAGTGGGAACGAGAGGGGGGCGCCGTTGGACACGGAAGGAGCTGGGAGATGTAAACAAGTCAGGTGTGGAGGCGGGCCCCAGTGGAGGCGGCCCTGGGGAGTCGGAGAGGAGGGACCTAATAGCTTCCCGGGGTTTTCCATCCACACCGTTGGGTTAATAAAACAACAGGCTCAGACCGCCAGGTCCCCTTATTTCCTGCCCACTGAGCGCTGAGCCCCTCATTAGGGTTTCCTTAACTGTAACGACTTCCCTAAGCAGAAAAACGAGAGTGTGAACGCTCTCCTGATGAAGACACTTCCTTTCTCTAAGACAGCCAGAGCCAGGGAAAGGGGGTCCTGGTACGGAAGCTGCCCAGCCCCAACCAACACTAGAGTTACCACCTGCCCCGGGTGCTGGGCGCTCCTGCTTTTTCATCTGCCCTTTGTGATACCCCTGCCGCATGGGGTTGGGGACACAGGGAATTAGAGCTCCACCTTTGGGGTCTTTTCACTTGGGTTATGTGGGGCCTTCTTTAAACAGAGGTGGGGAAGTAGCTCCGGGCGATGATAGAGATTGGAGGGAGACCCTGAAAGCAGGCACCCAACGGAGGCAGGGGGCGGTATGTACCCTGATGTCTCCAGGGTCCAGGCTGCGCTGGCTCCAGGCGGAGGCAGTGCTGCTGTCAAAGTAGGAGCCTGAGCGCTGCAGGTCCAGCTCATCCTCGTACACCTCCTCCACCATCTCCTCTCGGGGAGGCTCCCCCGTCTTCCAGAACTGGCCGGGGAAGCAGGCATGATTGGGAAGAGACTCTCCTTGCCTCCCTGTTCACACCTCCTCCAGCCGCCCCGTGGAATACATCGTTCCTTCAGGAATCTTCACCCCCCCCCTCGGATTCAGAATTCTGGGGTCCAAAGACTTTCTCTCCCTCTCATATTTCCTGATCTTCTCTCCCTTAAAGACCAAGGGGTCTCAGCCTCCTGCCCCTGCAACCCCTAGCCGTGTCCTCAGCTCTCCACTGCTCTCTGTAACGGCTTCTGTGCCGATTATCAGAGTCCACCAATCTTAAATCTGTGTAACAAGGACGCCTCCAATGCTATCTCTTATTTCCCTTGCTCAGGGACTGGAGGCTTCCTCCCCCACTCTCCCGAAAGTGAGCTCCTTAGGACTCCTGTTGATCAGAGCTCACACACCTGCAAGGTGTCATCCTCACCCTGACCTGGAGAGGGCGCTGCTGTCGCAGCAGATCCACCCTGTCCCTGACAGGGGCTGGTCTTCTGCCTTACATCCAGAAGGGGGAAGACCTCACCTTAGGGATGAAGATCAGGGCCAGGGTGGCGGTGACTGTGCTGTGGGTGTGGAAGAAGAAGAGGAGGAGGGTCCAGTCCGGGTGCAGGGAGGGAACCAGCACAAACCTGAGAGTGTGATGGGAGGGAGATTCTTGTCTGTGGGTGGGTGTGGTCTCTCCCTCCCCACCAGCCTCACCCGTCCCAGCCCCAGCCCCGGTCTCTGTGGAGGCGCTGGTGGGGCGAGGCAGGTGCGCTTCCTTCTTCTCGCCCTCTCTGGGATGTGGGTCCTACCTCAAGGTTCACGTTCACACCCGTCTCCGAGAAGCCCTCCCAGAATACTCCAGCTGGCCTCCTCTGGCTGCCTGTAGTATAGACTCGTGCCCACAACTCTGTTATGGACCAGCCCGTGCATGGATTCTACCTCCACACAGGGCCAGGTCCTTACGGACACACAGCAGGCAAGCTGCTGGGACAGCTGCGGTGTGAGGAGGGAGAAGGCAGAAAGCTGAACAAGTGTGGGAGGGTGCTTCCTCTGCTTGGGTGTTGGGTGAGACATGGGGTGCAGGAGGGGGATGTGGGGTAGGGAGAGAGTACAGGTCGGGGCCTTCCTCACCTAGCAGTGTTGTAAGGGTGGCCCTGGGAATGGGGCACCCTCATCAGGGAGAAGCAAGGAGCAGTATTAGGTGGGGAGGAGTTGTGGGGGCGGCCGTCCTCACCTGGCTGCATGGAAGGCAGCAGAGAGCAGCAGCTCGTTGTGCAGGGCGATGCCCATGTAGCGTGGTTCGTGGAAAGCTGAGGGCACAGCCCGGGCGGCATAGCAGAGGAAGCTGCCCCAGCACAGGAGCAGCATCTCGGCTGTGGGGAAGCAGCGAGGGGCACCACCTTAGCAGCGAGGCCCCCCTTTCTCTCTAGGGCTTGCTGGGGGGAACCTGAGCCAGGCGCCCGCCCGGATCCAAGGTGGGAGGAGCAGGACCAGAGGACCCGTGGAGGTGCAGAATCAGGGGCCCGAGTGAGACTGGGCTCTGTGAAGGCAGCTCACCCACAACCATGACGTAGTCCCAGTGGTCATGGTGGCAGAGGGAGAAGTGGCGGCCCGTGGAGGTGTGGCCTCGGGTCACCAGGGGTGTGTGCAGGATGCCTCGCTCCAGGACCCCCACTGTCCACACAGCCAGGAAGCCCAGCACTAGCAGCAGAAGCAGCCCCAGACGCCGAAGCAGCTGCCCGCTGCTTAGCAGGGGGCCCCGCTGGGCCGTTCGAGACAGAAACAGCTGGAGCACTCTGCAAGGTGTAGATGCGGGTGGAGGGGGCAAGGAGATGGGGCCGGGGCTCTGTCCTCTGGCCACTGCTCCCCTAACCCCCACATATACCTGTCTTCCCACCCCTCCCATGGCTTGCTGCCTCCTCACCCCCCAGGAAAGTGACATGGAGGTGAGGACTATAATGACTACGATCATGCGGGCAGGCTTTGGGGACACGGGAGTGGAACTGGTAAGAGTCTCACTGTGGAAAAACTCCATTCCACCAATGAGCTGGGGCGGCCAGGAATGAGCAGCACGAGAGCAAGTTCCGCTCCAGTCCTACCTATACAGCTTGAGTATAATGGTGCCGTAGACAATGGCAAAACCCAGCAGCCGGACCCAGCGGAGAGCAACGCAGCGGAATACACCAGGCTTGAAGTACAGGATGAAGACCTGGTGAGGGGGGTGGGGGGAAATGGCTGCTTTCCACCGCACTCCCACTGCCCGCCAGGCCTATGCTCAGCACATTGTCCATCTCCTCACAGCCTTGCAATAGAAGCAGCATCACCTCCGCTCTCTATAGCTTAAGTGGCTCAAGAATCAGGGAGATCAGGTATCTTGTCCTAAGTCACACAGCAGGTCATAGAGCTCTTTTAAGCTTGGACTCTTTGCTTCCAGAGCTCACTAGGCGAGCCTGCCACTTGTGGGTCTCAGTAGGGGCATCTGGAGATCTCTGGATCCTCCCAAGAGGGCAGAGAGGAGACAGCATTCTGGGGTTTGGAGGGCACCACGCTGGGACTGTGGGGACCCTGGGAGGTGGAGGTCAGCCTCTTGCCACAAACTCACGGGGAAGTAAAGCAGCAGGGATCCAAAAAGAATGGTTTCCAGCAGGACAATTCCAGATGCCCGGATCCTCTGTGAACCCAGGAACAAGAGGCAAGTAAGCAGGGCAGTCAGTGGGAGGACAGAGCCTGGTCGATGGTGTGGGAGGGTCTTAGGCCTATTTTAGGGGTCACTCAGTGGCCCTGGGCTAAGACTTCACCCCATAACATTAGCTCCACCTTCCACCCACAGCCATGCCCCTGTTCTCACCACAGGCTGTTTCCCTGGCCCTAAGCCTGGCGAAGGCCCAGGTTTCAGACCCCAGCAACCTAGCCCCATTCTCCCCGCAACCCCAGCCTGGGCCTTGCTGCAGACCTGGGCTCAGATCAGAAGCTGCTGGAGCTAGAAGGTACCTTATACATTTCTCCAAGCTTTGGTTCAGACTGCTCCCTCGTCTAGATACCCCCTTCTCTGCCTGGTAACCATCCAGTTGTCCTTCGAGTCTGGCTCAAATGTCACTTTCTCCAGAAAGTCTTCCCCATGCCAGCTCAGGCAGGACATCCAGGTCCTTTCTCTGAATTTCCAAAGAAACTGACACATAACTCTATTGACTCCATCCTCGCCTGTGTCTTGCTGCGCTATTATTTATTCACATGCCTGCTGCCTCTGTTCACCTGGGAGCTCCAGGTTTGAATCAACACCCAATGCCTTCATTTTCCGGGTGAGGAAACAGGTCTAAGGTGGCACTTGCCAAATGTCATGTAGCATGTTAGATTAATAATCAAGACCAGAACCCATGTCTCCCAAATTCTAGTCTCAGGTAGCCTCTGGTCTCCAGCTGATGCCAGGGATGCAAGCTGGGTAGGATGCGTGTGCGGAGAAAGACGTGGAGAGGAGCCTTCCTTACCTTGCTCCGGCGGCAGCGGTAGGAAACCAGCATGCTCAGGAAGACGGACGACATGCAGAAGGCCTGGCAGGCCAACACTGCTGTCCGCAGTGCCAAGGCCTCCTCCACCAGGCACGGCGTGGCATCCCTACAGCTGGTGCAGCTCTCGGCACATGGCTGGCACCGAAGCAGCCTCCCGGAGCTGCCTCGTGGTGACACAGATTGCTCAGTGGGCTGGGTGGCACTCTCCTCTGACCCTGTAAAGAACAAGATGGGTACAGGGAGAGGGGCATGGCTGGGGCATCCTGAGATGCTAGCATTCTCTCCCAGTGGTCAGCCCAGCCCTCTCCCTGCCGTCCTTTGGCAGCCTCCTTTGGTCAGGAGGGGAGGGATGAAGACATGGGTGCTCCCAAGGGGGGGCAGGGTAATGGGAAGAGGTGATGCCAAGTCAGGGCTCATTGCAAAGTCAACTTGCAGCAGACTGGCATGTTACGGGCTGGTCCTCAAACTAGATCCTGCCTGCCTCTTCGGCTTCTCTCAGCCTGGGAGGAAACCACCCAGTGTCTTGCCCGAGCCTGCCTTGCCCAGATACCCTCCTCCAACAAGCCCAGCCTGTAAAACACCTGCCCGACCCTCACCACAGTTACATACCCCCGGAGCGGTTCGTGCCATAGAAGCCGGGTCGGCAGCGGCAGAGGTAGCGGCCAAGGACAAAGCCCTGACTCTCCAGAGGGATGCACTGTGGGAACAACAACAACAAAAAAACCCAGTGAATATTTGTATAGGGCTTTCCCTCCCAGGAGGAGATGGAGGGCCCATCTATCTCCCTTTCTGTCCATCACACCTGGGTCCATACCAGGGAACCTCACCAGAAGCCCCCTCTGGGCCCCACGGAAGCCTTCCCTCTATGGAAACCCCACTCTCCCCCACACCTGCACTGCCTCTCTTCTCAAAGAGACACCCAAGCAAAGAGGGTGGGGCTGGATCACCCTTTTGTTCAGACCGGCAGGGACAGGAGCCTCGCAGGTCCCATTGCCCAGTGCCCAGCTGTTGCTAGAATGAGGTGCTGTGGGAGGTGTAAGTAGGAAGAGCTCTGAGCCCAACTGCACCTGTGTACCTACGTCCTGCTTCAAAGGGTCCCGTCAGCCTCCCTCTTTGGCACACAGGTAGATTGAAAAGGCTCCCACGGAGGAGCTGCTTCCTCCATCAGGGGCCATCTGGCTTTGGCACAGGACTGCTTTCCCCAGCCCTGATGCCAGGCTGATGCCAGGCTGGTGGAATGCCAAGGCCAGCTCTTTATTCCACCTCTGCCCATTAATGTTTACCCAGCAGGGGACAGAGCAGACCTCAGAGTCAGGTGAGGAAGATGAGCCCATGGATAAGGCCAGATCTGCTGTAGGGAGTGGCCGGGAATAGGCAGCATTAGGCATAGGAAGGGGTAAACACGCAGAGATTCTATATCCAGCCCGGCCTTCACCAAGAAAGATGCAAGGGTGCTGCCTCTGGAATCGTGGCCCTGCTTCCCCTCTTGCCCGGTGCACTGGAACACAGTCTGCTCCTGCCACGGTCTGCGCCATCAGAGAAAAGCCTGCCCAGAGGTGTGACTGTGGCTTGGGTTTAAAAGGAACCGGACACCAGGATCTCTTCTCTATTCCTGGACTTACAGCTCCAAACGCATGTGCCCTGAAGAGCAGTAGATGCCCAAACCGGCCCCATCTCCCAGCAGGCTGCAGGGATGGCCTTGGCCTCAGTTCAGCTCAGGAACAAGCACACAGCCAGTGTAACTGTGGAGCAAACGAGTGCACTGGCCTCCCAGTTCCCCAGTCCTGGGCTTGCAGGATTAGCAGCCATTGCTTCCACTATCCAGATTCTTCTGCATTCTTGGCTTTGATTCCGCTGGCTTCTGGCCTGGGTTCCATCCTCTATACCAGTCCCAGAGCTCTTCAAGCTCCAGCTTAGGTTAGATTCCTCCCACACCCCAACCAGCAATTCCGCTTATTTCAGCAAACACCAACTGAGCATCTTTTGTGGGCCAGAAGGAGCCTGGAGCTCTGTTGACATGATATGACAATGTGGTCCAGGAGAAGGGAAGGGGATGATTAATAGAGATCCAGGAGATGGTCTTGGAAAGGGACTTCGGAGCCCCCAGAACCAGAAGGGGAAGCAGACGGGGAGGCTCACTATTTCAAAGACATGAAGGCGGTTGTCTCGGGTGAAGGGCGGCGGGGGCTTATGTAAGCACCCTCACTTTTTAAAAGCCTGGAAGCTCATTTTTATCTCCTCACTAGAAACTCCCTGAAGCCCTGAGAGGCTTGTGTGCCTTTGTCAGCCACTTCTGGGAGCTGGGCGGTGGCAGTGGCGGGAAAGGTGGGGGGGGGGGGAGGACCCTGCGCACCGCCCCCGCCCTCCCCTTGCCCTTACCTGGGTGCTGTTGAGATCGCACAGGTGTGTGTTAGAGTACCAGCCTGGGCCGCTGGCACACTGATCGATGTCCACACTCTGAATGTCTACGTCCATCCGCACCTGCCCCCTAGGGCAGTGAATCAGCAGTTAGGGACACAGCAAAGGATGTCAAGGTGGACACGTGTCCTTGAGCCCCATAATACGGGCAATGCCAGCGCTGTGGACATTAGCACAGTGGCTGCAGTGTGTAGAGGGGGGTGCACAGGCCTCCCATTTCTCCAGTGCGATTAACCCCCACTGTCTGCAGGCAACAATCCCTCTCCCCTTGGCTGTCCTCCACCCTCCCAGCCCTCAGCTTTTCGATGTCCTAGCATTTTCAGGCTTCTGTAAATTGGTAGAGGAAGGGGACATGTCAAGACACGTGGGAGCCGGGACTTTGATGATCTGTTTGAAGGGGATTTTCACACTTTCCCAATGCACACTCACACTCACGCATACACACATGGAGCTCAACTATTGACTGCCCCTCACTCTGCCCGAACCAGGTCTGAGTTTATATAGCAAAGCAGCTATGGAAGGGAGAAACCCAGAGTTAGAGCTGCCTGGCCCAAGGGCTCCCAGCCCCTGCTCTGGTTGAGGGGAGAGAGCTGGCAGGCAGCCAAACTTCCTGCCAGCAGCAGGGGACCCTGCTGGGGACAGCGAAAGGGGGACACAGAGCTGGTAAACAATGTTGCCTGCTGAATGACTTGAAGTACTGGGCCTGGTGGCTCCCTCCTTCCTACCAGGGCTCCCAGTCACCTCTTCGCTCTGACAGAGGGGGGTCAGTTATTTGAGAGGTATCACAGCCTCCTGGGTCAGGACAGGCAAGACAGTGGAATCTACCTGATATAAGCATATAGCCATTGGGAGTGACCCTGGGGACCTGGCCAACTGCTGGACCGAAGAGGCAATGGTTTCAACCCTCCCCTAAGCGTTTCTCTTCTCTTGGAAAAGCCTCCTCTCGCAGCTCTGGGTTGCCAGAAGGCAGCAGGTTTAAGCTCTTGCAGTGCCCGCCTGGCTCCTCTAAGACACCTGCTGTGTGGATTATCATTTTCACCCACACAGAGAAGCCCTCTCTCATGCCTCTTATACCCACTACTCAGACCTAGGGGCCAAGACCTACCCCTGGCTATACCCACACACCGATGCACACACATGCGCATAACTGTATGTACATATATTGATTCATACACTGTCTGTATGCTCACACCTGTATGTGTCAACACGTAGTCACAGATTCCCAGAGGTGACTGCAAATACACTCCGCTGAAGGCAAATACACAATCTGGGTCCCCAAACACACCGTGCATGCCAAACGGCCTATGCACAGCTGGGTGGACCTGGGCTCCCCACCCCAACAAACCTGCAGAGACACTGAATCCTGCACAAACCCACTTACCTGATCTCCGGGCTGAGGTCCGGCTTGAGTCCATAGAAGGTGGCCGAAAGTGTGATAAGCCAGCCAGGACGAAGCTGGCCCTCCTGGCATTCCAGGAAGGGAGGAGACAGCCTCACATGCTGCATGTCCCCCAGGTATCCATCTCCCCGTGGCCACTTGGGGCTTCCGAGGGTCCCTAGGTCATTGGTCAGCACCCGTTTCTGCAGGGCAGGAGTGTCGAGGGTCCCGGTGAGGATCTCTTCCAGCACCCTGTTCCCAGACAAGTCCTGAAGGATGGTCTCCTCCCCCATTCGGGTGGCCTGCAGGGCCAGCTGCAGGTGGCTGGCCCCTGGTGGGGGGTTAAAAGTCAGCAAAGCCCGGTACGCCCTTGGGTCCCCCTCGGCCACGCTGCGGACTAGCGCCTGGTACCACTCCACATCCTCCTCCACACTTGACTCACGGATGTCATTGGCTTGTAGCAGCATGTTGAGGAAATTGGCAGCCTGGGCAATGGTGCCTGCTGCCCTCCCTAGGATCGGGGGGACCCCTGGACTGGCTTCTGCCCCCCGAGCTTCATAACGCACACTGCAATTAGTCCCCAACAGCTGTCGGGCATCTCCAGAGTAGAGAAAAGCCAGGGCTGCTTCGGCACCCTCTGGGGGCACCCGCACAGGTACATATTCAGCCTTGACTCCAGAGGACAGCGAGGGCAGAGGGTGGGAGGGCCGCAGAGTCCCCAGAGCCCAGCCACAGAGGAGCCAGCAGCCCAGCAGCCCCGACACTGGAGGGGACATAACCACTTTCCCGGTGTCCATCACTGGGGCAGATCTCAGGGACCCTGGCGTCCAGGCTGCCTGGGGATTTGGTGGCTCAAGAGAGTTCAGGTAGAGGCTGGCTGCGGTCCCAGACTGCCGCCCGCCTGACTCCTCTCCTCGTGTTCTCTCTTCCTCTCTCCCTCCCTTGCTCTCTGCTTGCGCTGTGTCGCCTGCTTTTTCTCTAAAATCATCAGCTGGCTTCTGGATGTAGGCATGGGGCTCTCCCTCCTCTTCTCTCAGTGTGGCCCCCATCACAAACCCTCTTAATCCCAGCACACCACTCTTTCCTCCCCCTGTTATCCAGTATCTAGTCTCCCTCCTCCCATTCTCCACCCTACATCTGTTCCAGAGAAAGCGATAGATGGGAGGGGAGAGGAAGGGCCCAGCCGTTCTCTCTCTCCCTCTCTTTCTGCCTCCCTCTGCCCTTTGCTCCATTCGGAGAGATGGGCAAATCCAGGATGGGGCGTCATAGCAACCGCAGATGAGCCCCTGCTCCTCTCCCCACCCCTCCACTCCACTCAGCCTCCTGGCAGCAATTGCGACAGGCATGAGGAAGGGCCAAGCTGCATCTCCTGGCAATCTGCTCTGGCTGCCTAGAGCCCCGACACTGTGCTGCAGAACTGGGATTTGAGACTAGGGATGGTGAAGGTGGGAAAGAGAGCTTCATAGAACCACAGTCAGTCATTGTACAGACTGTGGCGGTTTATAAAGTGTTTTTCATGTGCATTATCTCAATACGTCTTCCCCACAGCCACATATGGTGAGTATCATCGCCATTTCACAAAAGCGGGGAGGCTCAGAGGCTCACCCAAGGTCACCTAGGGGCTCACTTTGAGTCGAGACACAAACTCAGAGCTCTGACTCCCCTACAGTGCTCCATCAACCCACGACGACCGCCTGGTGATTCATCCTCAGGGACCTTAATCAAGCCCCATTAGAGAGGAGTAGGTCAAACTCAGAGAGGTGAAGGGAATTCCCTAGGACCACACTGTGGCTTGCGACACTGCAGAAGCCTCCACCAGATCTCCACCTCCCCACCCAGGGGTTCCCCCTCCGGCATCACAGAGTTGACAACCACAGCCAATGGGGTGGTTGCAAGCGGGGGCAGGGACAAGAGATTGCACAAAGCTTTGTTTCCGCTTCTTCCACCTTCATTTTTGTCATTCTAAGTCCTGTCTTCTTTTCTTCTTGAAGACCGTGCCTAGCCTTTCTCGGTCTTCCTGGTTTTCTTATCGTTCACACCATTCCCTCCGTTGGACTCAATAACTAAAGAGCTTAGAGTTCGTCTGAGGCAGCTTTCTTGGATCAGAAGGATGTGGGTTCTTGCAGGTAGCCACAGAACAAAGTCCCTTCCTTCCTCTCCCTCCTTCTCCATCACCTTTCCACTGCTGACGTACTCCGCACTCGGTGATCTGGCCCCAAAAGCACATGCTGTGTCTTTTGGCTCCTTCCCTTCTCTCTCTGCTCCTCCCAACCTCTGACATCCCAGATCGCTGAGTGTATGTAGGAAGGGACAGGTGGAGGTTGCTAAAAACGTCCCTTACTTTACAGGTGGTCTTGGCAAACAATTACGTTGTAGGACCCTAAGTGGGAGTTAAGGGGTGGGAGAAAGACAGGAGGCTAAAGGACAAGCCTCCTGCAGACCCCATAAGGTGTCGAAACTAGAAGTGCCTGCAGCCCAGACCTTTCTCTAATAGAGAAGGAAACCGAAACTGAATGTCAGCAAAACGACCTTCTCAAGGCCACGAAGTCAGTTGAGTGGTTACTGGGGTCAGGCCTGCATCACAGCTCAGTAGTTCTGTCCTTGGCTGCTCTGATTCTGCATGCTGACTAACCAAGAGAGGGACAGAGGGAGCAAGTGACCCATTCCTGGGTCCTGTTGTTATTAGTTAGCATAGCAAAGGCCAACAAAACACACTGGGTGAAGACACAACAGTAAGTTGTTTGTTTTCCCCTCAAGAAGCTTTTCACACTAATACCAACTAACAGTCGTATAATGTTTTAGCATTTACATGTAATCCCCACAACAGCCCCGTCAAGAGGGATTATTATTGACCTACTTTTTTTTTTTTTTTTTTTTTTACAAATGAAACACAGGTTCAAAGATGTTTAACTGTTTGCCCTTGGTCATAGCTCCAGGAATTGGCCTGATTAAGACTCAAACGAGAGAGCGAGCCCCAGTGGGACGGGGACTTGGCCTGTCCCACTCGCTGCTGCACCCCCGAAGCCCAGCCCACTGCCGAGTGACTTCGGTGACCGCAGGCCTAGTTTAGATGATCTTCATTGTTCTTCACAAACTTTAGGAACTAGGATCCTACCACTGCAGGGAGCACTTATATATTCTTCAGTGAAAAGGGTATGTGTAGACACAAAACCCGCTCAACACACACCAACCCAACTCATACAAAGTTACATTTCCTTTGCTTGGATCTTAATTTTCAATGTTTTTCCCAGGACCTGAGCTACAGGCATGGACATTTGAGGATGTGGAGAAAGGCGGCATTCCTTCCCCTGCCTTGGAAAGACCCCGTGTGCATTCCCTTGTGCCTCGGTGTACTCCGGGAAGGTGCAGATACCCCAGGCGGCAGACATAGCCTCTCTCTGGGGCTAAGAAAATAGATGGACAGCAGAGGGCGCTGCAGAACTACAGACCTTGCATTACCCCTCCCTGTAATCTGTTCTGGAGCCAGTTTTTCTGACACAGCCCGAGATCTTAGGTGGTCTTCATAGGCCTCAGGGGTTCTGTGGTCCCACAGAAATTTCTCCTTTTTTCCAGAAACCTCAGTGATGCCTGAGAGGTAGTTGAGAGAGAGAGAGGCTAAAGGATAAAATGTTTGACATCAGATAGTGTTGGTTTTGAATACCACTGCAACTTTTTGAACTGTGTGATCTTAGGTGAATAACTGAGCTTAATTAAGTTTCTTCATGGGCAAGGAAGGATATTAATTCTGTTGTGCTGCATGAGATGAATTTGCATCAGGAGACTCTTAAAAGTTGTGAGGTTGTTATCATGAGTCTACTCTGTGCCCAGAAACAGCCCTGGGCCCCAGAGAGTCCACAATGGGCAGATGTGGCCCTTCATGGAGCCGACAGCTTAGCAATGAAGACAGACTTTAATCAAATAACCCCACAGATAATTGACAAATAATATCCGTGCAATGAAGTGCAGCAAAGGGGCAGTCCTGGACCTCAGTGAGGAGGAAGTGCCCTGCCAGGGAGATTTATTTCCCTGAGGTAGCAAGGGGTAGGACGTTACTAAGCAAAAAAAAAAAAAAAAAGTGGGGGGTGGGGGGTGATGACCGGGGTGGGGAAGCCTTCGAGAAAAGGGTATAGCTTCTGCAATGGCCATATATGTGCAGGCTCCACACAGGGCTAGTGGAACTGCACGGGAGAGAGAACAAGGGGGACCATGGTGGGAGATGAGGCCAGAGAGATGCAGGATCAGATCACAAAGGACCCCAAAAGCCTCCTTAAGGGGTTTTGCTTTTATCCTAAGAACAGTGGGAAACAAGAAGCATTGTAATCATTGGCCATGGACACATTTCCATTTTTAAAAGGTCTCTCTGGCTGCAGGAGTCACAGCAGACCCTCAACCCTCTTACCCTCAATGAAAACTCAGGCACCCAAGTTGCTGAACTCTGCGGGCTGCTGCTTCCTCTTGTCCCTTGCATCCCTCCTCGCCTCACACGGGACTATTGCAAGGGTTTCCTAATTGGCCTCCCTGGCTCCAGACAAACCTCCTCTACACAGCAAACTTGATCTTGTTTGATCTTCACAACATGCCTGCAAGTAAGCAAGGCAGCTATCCTTATCTCTGTTTTGCTGATGAGAAAACTGTGGTGCTACGGAGCTGGCTCGTATGGGCTTACATGAGCCAATTATTAAAATTTCAGGAATTCTGCAAGCCAGTTGTTAAATCACAGCCACTGTTAAAATTAAATTATACAAATTTATAATGAATAAATGATATTAAAAACAAAGGTAATATTAAATAAGTTCTCAAAACTCATCACTTCCTAATAATTTTACTATTATTTGCTATCTATGTTCTTGAGGTTATTTATATTGTTGTATCTGCATGATGAACAAATACATAATGTATGCCACTGTTCATCTCTTTTTACCTCTGTGTTCAGTTTCTTTTTTTTAAAGATTTTATTTATTTACTCTTACAGAGAGGGGAAGGGAGGGAGAAAGAGAGGGAAAGAAACATCAATGTGTGGTTGCCTCTTGCACGCCCCCAGCTGGGGACCAGGCCCATAACCCAGGCATATGCCCTGACTGGGAATTGAACTGGTGACTCTTTGGTTTGCAGGTCAGCACTCAATCCACTGAGCCACACCAGCCAGGGCCCTCTGTGTTCAGTTTCAAAGCCAGGTTGGTAGAGTGAAATCAGCCATGATGGCAATATTTACACAATGGAAAATGGCAAACCATATAAATTTAGTGTTAGTGTTTTGTTGATTACCTAGACTTAAGAAAATGATGGAGAAAATGTTAATAACTCAGATTTAAACTTTTTTAGCTGGCACAAAGGTAATTTATTAACAGAAATAATAATTTGAGGACTCCTGTTCACAGAGGATGACCACATAACACCCTTCCTGTGGGTGCTGTCGGAGGGGGTGGGAGTGACATCCTCAATCCATCTGATTTTCATTCCCGAGAAGGCAAGGGCTCTGAGAGCTGACTGGGCCCCTGGCCCAGGGGTCTTGGTCCTATTTCCTCATATGGTCTGGAGTTTGATGTGGAGAGCGGTGGTGCCCAGCCCCTTGCACCTCTGGGCCATATCCTGGGTAGCCAACATGGCAGTGTATAGAAAGGACTCATCTCAGTCAGCCTTGACCTTCATCCCACCTGTCACACAGAGGATGGTTTCTTAACAGAGAAAACAGCGACATGGGTATGAGTGTCATTGGAGGATGTAAAGACCTGGTGGACACCAAATACATTGTCTCCCTCAGCCACCTGAGGTCCGAGGCAGATGACCTGTTCTTCCTTTTTTTCCTCCTCCTGACAAGGTGCCATTTCTGCACATTGGCTCCAGACTCTGCTACTGGAAAGCTCGGTTTAAATTTAATATGGTATGTCTGTAGCCATTGGATTGTGAATAAAACAAAAATTGTGGACATTTTCACCATTTGCAAACTGTTTTCCGATTCAGCAAAGAAGTCATTCCCATAAATGATAGTTAAGACTTTTTTTTTTTTTTTTTACTTTCCTCTTACAGACATAGAGGAAAATAGTAACCAACATCCATGTGACAATTACACTCCTTGGTCAACTGAAACCACAGGGCGACCCATTCAAGAGCGTGGCAAAATCACTGAAAGCATTCTGCAAGAATCAATTGGTTACATGGAGTTTGCAATAGTCTATATTATCATTATTCTTGGCAAATTGTGTGCTACATATCTTTTACATTAGTAAAATTTAGTATATACTTATGTACCTGTATATACATACATACCCCCCCCAGAGCGACAGTTGTTCAACATTTATCAGCACACCTCTGAGTCTTAGAGGTGTATCTATGTAATGACACACATTATTGGTGTGTCATTACCTAAATATTCACTGGATATTAGGGGTGAATCAGACTGTCAATGAAGAAATGACTTCGCCTCGGTAACACATCGCAAATGGCACAGGGGAGACGAAAACCAGTTTCTCGCAAGGCTTGCGGTTCTCTCCTAGGGGCAGTCCAAGACCCCCAGAGCTGCTCCTCCTCACCGGGAGGGATGGCTTCAGCCTGAGTGCCCGGGAAGTGAAAAGCCAGGGTCGAGGCAGGGGACCAACAGCCAGGCGAGAAGCAGCTCAGGGCCAATAGCGGATCAGGCCGGAGTAACGTCACGCTCCTAGGGGCCGGCTCGAGCACACCGGGGGGGGCGTGGCACAGTCTCCCGGAAGTGATGCCATCCGGGGGGCGGTCCTCCGCGGCGGTGGCGCGCGGCCTGCGCTCGCGCTGGGCTCCGCGCGCCCCCCGCCCCCTCTAAGAGGCAGAGGCCGCCGCGGCCGTTAGCGCTGTAGCTCCGGGGCCCGCGGCGGGCGGGGCTCCGGCGGGGCCCGGCTTAGTCCCCACCCCAGCCCGGCTCCTTGTCGCCCGCCCTCCCTCCCTCTCCCCGATGCAGGGGGCCGAGCTCCGGGATGGTGAGGCAGCGGCAGCGTCCGCTTCGTACCGCGTCTTGAGCCGCCTGCTCGGCTATGGAGAGGCGGCCCCCGAGCCAGGCCCGCCGCCACCGCCCCCAGGCCATGGCCCCCCGCCGCCACCCTTCCTTGCACGCCCCGGTACGCGGGGCTCCCGGCCGCCGCAGCTGATGGTGTTCCGCAACGTGGGTCGGCCGCCGGAGGAGGAGGACGCGGAGGCGGCCCCAGAGCCGGGACCCTCGGAACTGCTATGTCCCCGGCACCGCTGTGCCCTGGACCCCAAGGCCCTGCCCCCGGGGTTGGCGCTCGAGCGGACCTGGGGTCCGGCTGCTGGACTAGAGGCTCAGTTAGCAGCTCTGGGACTCGGGCAGCCGGCGGGGCCGGGAGTCAAGACGGTTGGTGGGGGTTGCTGCCCGTGCCCCCCGCAGGCGCCCCCTCCGCAGCCCCAGCCGTCTGCTGCCGCCCCGCAGGCCGGGGAGGACCCCACGGAAACGAGCGACGCGCTGCTGGTCTTGGAGGGCTTGGAGTCGGAGGCCGAGAGCCTGGAGACTAACAGCTGTTCGGAAGAAGAGCTCAGCAGTCCGGGCCGCGGAGGAGGAGGCGGCCGGCTTCTGTTGCAACCCCCAGGCCCTGAATTACCCCCGGTGCCCTTCCCGCTGCAGGACTCGGTCCCGTCAGGGCGCTTGAGTAGAGGGGAGCAGCAGCAGCCGCCCCCGCCCCCTCCTCCTCCTGGGCCCCTCCGGCCACTCGCGGGCCCTTCTCTGAAGGGCTCTCTCAAAATCCGCCTCAGTCGCCTCTTTCGCACGAAGAGCTCCAGTGGTGGTTCTGGTGGCGGATATGGGGCCAGCAAGAGGCCTTCTGGAGAGCTGGCTGCTTCAGCTGGGAGCCTGACCACCGTGGGAGGCTCTGCCGGCCGGGAGCTGGACGCAGGGAGGTGAGACCTGCCGGGGGGGGGGGGGGGGGGGCGACTCACAAACTTCCCTTTTTTTGCTTCATTTCCCTTTTATTCTAACAAGATCCTGACCATTCTGATGACATGGCCTTCATAAGGAGGCAAAGAATTGGGGCTAAAAGTGGTGTGACATCGTTCATTAGGCCAGAGCTAATTACGGGAAACAGCTTTCACTCTTGAGTTCATTCCCCTTGACACTTCTCTGCTGGTTCATATCTCTCTAGTGCCGAGATGATTTGAAACCGTGCCCCCTACCCCTACCCTGGCCCAGCTTTTAAAGTTTTCCCAAGGTGTCTGTATACTGTTACCTCCCATTTGGGCTTTGGGACTTTTGGGATGGAATGTTGGTGTTGCGTTTTGACCACCTTGCTTATTACTCATGTGTGCCAGCACCCCACCCCTTCATACTCATGCATACGAATGATGTGAGGAGTTGTAGGCCCACAGTCAGTTGGGCATCTCTATTGCAAGTTTTCATGTTTCCCTGGTTGGTCTCCTAGATGTACTTGGTATCTCAAGCCTGTGGGCTGATCCCCGTCAGTGAGAATCGAAAATAGCTTTGCTCTCAAGCCCATGTGAGAATTCTAAGTATGAGGTATAGGCATTGGTGTGTTAGTTCTAGGCCAACTGATGACACTTCCCAACTTAGACATTGAATTTTTTTCCCTGAACTTCTGAAGGATGGGCTGCTGTCTAACATCCAGTGTGAGATCTATACATTGGTTTAGAAATCTGTCAACTTTGGTGTCCACGAAATGTGACTTACCTTGTCGTAACCAACTGCCATCGTGGTTTGTGCTGCTGAAGGGGTTAGGCAACTAAATTGAGAACTTTGTGCACCAGAACCATTGGGGGAGCTTTGGGCAAAGGTCAGTATGTCTCAGGGCCCAAGAATTTGAATTTTTACAAAGCTCCCCGGTTGGTCCTGCGGTATCACCTGGACTGGGAAGCACTCATCTATATGTGGGACCTGGGGTACTCCAAAGGAGAGTGGGGTCAGTTTGACATTGCTTCCCTTTCTGAACAGCTATGCCAGGGTCTCATCTTGGGGATCAGACCAAACCTGAACTCCCTAGGGAGTTGATGCAGGTTACCCCCTTCCGGTAGACCTGTGTTTCTGCATTTGCCTCCCAGAGAACTCATGCGCAGGTCTTGAAAAGTGTGTGGCTGCTGAAACAGCTTTTTTGTTGTAGGCTCTGCATTTGATGCTCCATTTAACCAGTACAGATGAAATTTTCCTCATATGGGGGGATGGCAGGACTGAAGCTGTGGGTAATGACATAGGATAGATTGCTGATTTTCTTGTGGTTTGTCTTGCCTTTGTTCCATATTGACCAGGATCTGGTCTAAGATTTCAGACACGCCAGATATGAGGTGTGGCGTGAAATTAGCTGCTCCGTCTAATAGATTAGGAAGTGGAAAAGGCATATAACATTATACGGTGTTTTGCCTTTGGAAGCAGAATTTAATGGTCATTGGCTGCTCTGTCACCAACCTTCACACTAAGCACAATACAGAATTCTGCTGCGGAGCAAACTGGGCTGTAGCTCTGAAAAGCTTAGTTCAGAGCACTGGAGAATTACATTTTTTGGTCCAAGGGCTTTCTCTGATGGATTGGGGAAGAGCTAGGTATTTATGTACGAACGTTCGGTTGACTGCTGTTAGGAGGCAGCGTGTGGGACAGACTGCGAACATCTAATTCCATTTAGAACCCTAGCATCAGCTGTGGGACGCCAGCCAGCTCTGTCTTCTTCACGCTTCTCCCTTTTTGTTCATCAGGAAAATGGGAGCGATTCCTGTCTTTTTCCTGTTCTTGTAGGAACAGAGTGAAGACGAGAAACGGAGATGGAATATCTTGTGCTTTTGGAGAAGTAATAAGATTGAATTGGTGATTTTTTTTTTAATACTCAGGATTCGGTGCTGTTAGATTTGCTTGTTAGCTTTTACACAGCTTACTATGTGCCAGTCTTGCTGGCAGCCTTGCAGCTGTGAGAAACTTGGTTAAGTCTGGCCAGGGCGGTTGTGATTTCTGAGGACCTGCCCCTCCTAAGTCAGTCCGCCCTGTTGGAAACAAGGATGGGTTTGGAATTTTAGCTCGTTTTTGTGTTTTAATTGGTAGGACCTGGAAGCTGTGAGAGACCTTAATCTCTTGCCAGAAGGTGTATATGCCTTCCTCTTCATTGTTGGTTGGAGTCTCTGTACTCTTTGCTCTATAATTTGGAGTTTTTAACAGTAACCTCCGGTCATGACTCTTTGCTCTTCTTAATATCTTTCCTTCAGCTATTGCTAGAAAGTACTTCCTGCAATCAGTTTATAGGACTTAACTGTTTGCATATTTTAACATTAAACAAGATTAGTTCCTTTCAGATGCTTTAGAGTGTGCTAAATGGACCTACCTGGATATTCTGAGTCTTAATTCTAGAATAAGTTGGCTTAGAGAACTCTTTTGAAGCGAAGGAAGAAAGGGGCCCACCAACTAATCAGGTTTCTGCTGTGAAGAACTGGGCTAGGCCTTTAACACATATGTTGGAATTCACAGAGCTGGGCTTGCTGCCTGTGGGCTTCAGTGTAATGTAGAATTGCTATTTCAGGAAAACCAGTGAAGTTCCCCTTTCTGTTTCACATATGTTGAGCTGATTGTCTTCCTTTATATTTGGTGAGAAATGGCATTCGATCTGACTTTTTTGAATCATCACATAATATACATTTGGTTGGAAATGAGCACCTTGTTCATTTTTTAAGTTTTTATTTTTCCTGAGTTGATGGTTGAGGCTGTTGTCTTGGATCTTCATAGTTGTGATGGGGAAAAATGGATGATAGTTCTATGGTGGTTTCCTGTCTATTTGTTTGGAGGGAAAAGATATGGTTCTGGAAAGAGGCAGCTGCCTTGGCATTAGTTTGAGACCCTGCTGTCATGGACAGATTTGGCAGAAATGAGAACCCTCTTCTCTGTTTCGTTGGGTCTTCAGGTCCGAATGGGGTATTTTTAAGAAATAGCACGACATGCCGAGATTAAAATGCTCTGTGGTGCGGGAAGGAAGTCCTGGTTCTGCGTTTGGGTGTTAGGTTCCATGCTCCATGGATTTTTGCAACTGCCTTTCATGGAGTGGTTGTGGTCGGCAGCTCTCATTGGGAGTGAGCAGCCTGGTTTCAGAAATCTCTATCCATTTGAGCCTTGTGTCTTTGCTCCTGAATATTTTTCTCTGCTAACATCATTCCTAACGATTTAGTCCTTGGACTATACATTGCTTGGCTTTTCCCTGGAAGTTCCCTTCATAGGTTCTTTGGTTGGTTTATGCTGGAGTTTTGGATTTGACCTTGGTGCACAGATGTCTGTGTGTTGGAACTGAAACGAACACATGGTTTTTGTGCCTGTAGCACATGAGCAGACACTAGCTTGTGACGTGTTGAAAATGGCACAGGCTGGCTGACTTGGCACTGTGTGCTCAGCAGGGGCAGAGGTAAAGGGTGGCTGTAAAGTCTGATAATTGGGCATTCTTGTTTGGGAGTCACTTTTGAAAAGAGCATGTGTAAGTCTTCAAGCGTAAGTAGAGGAGATTAATGGACCAGAAGGGAGGGCCTTACCATTTCATTGTTTGTAATTTAGGTTTCAAGGAATTTGCAAAGTGGCTGATGATTTTATGAGTGTGTCATCAGCCTATCTAGTTTAATGCTTTTAACTTTTATCCCACAGATCTGTTGCCATACAATTAGCAATTTGCAGAGTGGAAATGGACAGAGGCATTCTGTCTCTTTGTTACCAGAAGCATAAGCAATGCACAGCTGACACAAAGGACTGCTTAGCCTCCATGAAGACCTTTGCCTAAGGTCTTCTGCCACCCTGTTCTGTTCTGTTACCTGAGGCTTAGCCTGCCAAATCCTACTCCACTCTCCCCTCCAAGCCTTTCTGCTTCTTAGCTTTTACATAGCTTTCCAGGATGCACATGGCTTAACTTTGCACTCTAACGCTCATCAAGGTGACCTGGGGAGGAATAAAATAAATGGGAGTGTGGTATAGAAAGGTTAGTTAAAAATGTTATCCATGTCTTCCGTGATGCTCTTCAAAAAACAGCACTTCCAGCTGAGAATGGGCTTCTATCATTTTCACTGTTTCATATATACAAAAGGATGTGTATATAGTGTGTGCACCATAATAATAATCAAATGCGTACCCAGGTACATATCTCTGAGCTTAGCAGATAGAATGTTATGAGTTACCCTTGAAGACCCTGGTGTGTTGCTTCCTGATTACATCGCCACAGCTACCATAACCACCACCTCCGTGTTATGTTAATCATTCCCTTGCTTTGTTTTTTTACAATCAGCTAGATTGGTCTTTTCGAGTGACTGCCATTAGAATGCTCTCAGGATCCGTGAGACAGAAACTGCTTTGGATTTTCAGTTAGCATCTCCCCGAAGAGAGAAGGAAGCACTCATTTATTATTAGCCTTTCAGCCTCTTAGACCTTCTCCCTCTCCAAGCTTCTTGCTCTGAGGCTCCCTTATTTGCCAGGAAAAAAAATCTCAGGGCTCTTAAATGGCTCTGCCTGGATTTAGATTCGTATGTATTTCTTTTTCCAGATCCTAGAAACTATGATTTTCTTCTTCAAAATGCTGGGGGCGGGGGAGAAGATGAAGTGGAGTGAGAAGGCCTCTGCAAGCTGTGTGCATTTGGGTACTGCCGTTCTTCAGTGCTTGGCACTGAGGAGATCCGTCCCCAGCATGGGCAGATGGCAGAGTAATGCAGCTTCCTTTGAAAAGAGGCAAACGGCCAAGTGGCTGAGGTGTGAACCCTCTGAAAGGCCAGTGCTTTAGGTTTCTGCTTGCTGAGTTTAATGTTGTACCCACAGTTATCAAATAAAAATTGGTGTGGAAGTTCTTCAGTCTTAAAGTTCATGTCCAGGGGAATTAACTTTCCATTTCAGCCCTCTGGAGTGTTGGAACTAAGCTGTAGGCTGCCATGAGCAACTTTCACAAACAGAGGGACCGTGTGCGCTTGTGTCTTGTGGCGATGCAGTGCCTCTCCCGTGGCTGCGTCATTAGACTTTTTAAGCCTCGGCGTGTGGGAGGTCGCAGAGGGAGTGTGAGACCGGCCAGGAGACCAAATCAGGCACCTTGGCTATTTCTAAGATCTTTACACAATGGTTTTGAAATTTTGTTTGAAGTGAGTTCTGAGAATCTCAGATACATGTGTTAAAACATAAATGCATAAAGATCTTCTAAAATCAAATAATTCTAAATAGGATTTTCTTTGCTTCCTCCTCCCCCTCCTCTGGCGCAGTTGAAGTTTCACTTAGTCCTTTGGGGGAGAGTAATTTGGGAAGGTGAGCCAGCTACAAGGCCGAGTCAGGCACTGACGGCGGTGGTGGGTGTTTTTCAAAAGAATGGTTTATTGAGGAATGATTTATATACCACCTAAAACGCCCCTATTTAAGGTGTCTAGGTCTATACATTTTGATAAACATATATAATCATCATGACCTCTGCCACAGTCGAGATTCAGCACATTTCTGCCTCCTCCACAAGTCTTTCCTTCCTTCCCTTGCAGGCAATTCAGTCCTCTTGAGATGGAATTTTTTAGCTTAGCACATTTTTAGCCTGAAAGTCTTTGTCACAGTCTTTAGATTTCTTCCATTTCTCTCTGAAAAGACATTTGAAATTGGTACAAAGCAAAGTTACCTTTTGTGTATCTTTTCATGGAAGACCTGGGTTTTCTGGCTGGTTCCCTGGAGCAGTCAGGCAGGAGTCTTGGGGGGAGCCGTGTGGCGAGAGGGCCGTCTTGTTCTGTGCCAGGTGGAGCCCCTGACCTGAGCGGGCACCTTGGTAGCTGATGGTTTTAACCCACGGCTTAGGGACATTTGTGCAGAAATCAGAGGTCTTAAGAGGTTGAAGATTATACGCACGTCCTGTTCCAAGGGGCAGGCCCAGAGGGAAAACTATTGCCCTGACATGTGAAAATCCACTGTGCAGCTGACTTCCTTCCTCTAGATTGCCATTCAAGGTGTTTTACTCTTTTTTTTTTCTGTTCCTTTTTTTTTTTACTCATTTATCTTTAGAGGGGAAGAGAAGAGAGGGAGAGAAATAGCAATGTATGGTTGCCTCTCGTGTCTGCCCCACTGGGAACTGGCCTGCAACCCAGGCATGTGCCCTGACTAGTAATCGAACTGCGATCCCTTAGTTTGCAGGCCCACGTTCAATCCACTGAGCTACACCAGCCAGGGTGTTTTACTCTTTTAACATGCTGGGTATGGAGCGATGCAAAGGGATTTCTCATTGCTTTGCATACTGGTGAATTCTCTAGCCAGACTTGTTTAAGGAATTGCCTTAATTATTTTACTCTTCCCCTTTAAATTTTAAGAGTTGATTACAAAAATGTTGCTGACAATGACTACAGTTTGCTTTGTTTCAGTGCATCTGGAATTGAGTCTTATAGTGATTTCAATGCGTGCTTTCTCACCCCCTAGGAAACCCAGGTTGACAAGAACTCAAAGTGCCTTTTCTCCGGTCTCCTTCAGCCCCCTGTTCACAGGTAAGGGTGATCTCTTTCTTCTGACGTGTAAAAGCTGCGGTGTTCTGAGACCTGTCAGGAATCACTTACAGATGCACCTCAGAGGGAGCTTCAGGCATGTCTGCAGTTATTTTCTTCATTCCATGCTGGGTTTGGAGTGAGGCTATTTTTATGGTGTGGAATGTGTTCTTGACTTTGGATGCTTTATAGTTTAGAGTAGTGGCGGCTTGCTGGTAATTAGGTGGCCCTGGCAGTTATGCAGTGCTTAGTTCAGGGTCGTCACATATAAATTAAAAGGAGGAATTACAAATTTATAGGTTCGCAGTGCACAGAGGACGTTCAGTTCCTGTCCCGGTTTCCACTGGAGGTTGTGCATTGCCTAATAAACATGACTGTGGCTATCCAGTCTATTTTTAAAGACTTTGGGCAAAGGGGATTACATGAACTCTTGTCTTACCCATTTTAGGGGCTAGCAGTTCTTGCAGCTGTTTGACTTCTTCATTATGTCTAATTTAAGTCTCTCTTGCAGCAAGGAGGAACACAAGTTACTAATGTAGGAAAGTGGTTGAATGTCATTTGGGCAGCTGCCTCCTCTTTAACAAGGATCTCCTTCGGAGAGGGAGACCTCTTGTTACGTCAGTCGGATGTGAGGCTGGCTCTCCTGTGAATGAGCTGTAGGAAAGAGGTCGTTAGCCCACTTCCCATGTCTCAAAGCTGAGTACTCATTGGTTATGGCTGAGAAGCCTGTAAAAAAAAAATCCCAATTTCAAATTCTTTTGGTATTGTGTCCTTCAAAAAGATGGTTGCAAGAATTTTGACTAGGGAATAGACATTTTCAGAAGATGTTAAGTGGGCTGGTGGGACCCACATAACTGCAGAGGTGGCCCTGGGCCATCAGAACAAGTGAGGCAGTGCCTGTGATGGGCACGGGCAGGGAAGGAGGGCTCTGTTCTTGGCCCAGGCCCAGAATTAAAGAATCTTATCCTCTAGCAATATGTCTTTCTAGTTAATAATTGTTTCCTTTCTGCAGTAAGGAATGCCCACATCTGTAGTGCTGGGCTTGGTGTTACTGTTTCAGACAGGCCTTAGCCCTTTGAATTACCGGTTTTCATGGAGGTGCCGCACCCACAGTCCAGGCCTCTCTGGCCCTTCAGGAGCCACACTTGTCCAGGCTCATGGCGTCGGTCTGCACCGCTGGGCTCTGTTATGAAACTGTGACGAGTCCAGCTTCCCAGGACATCCACTGATGACTTTGGAAGAGCTTTTCTGCTTATCGTAATGAGTGTTCAAGAACTTTGTAAAAAAAAAAAAAATGTGTACTAGATTCTTAAAGCCCAGCTCCAGACCTTTTAAGAGACATTGGTTTCTATTTATAATAATAAAATCTAACTGAGAGCTAATTCAAATTAGCCTCTGGAATAAAAGGCGTTGGAAATAACACCCTCCAATTAGTGAAATCCTGAGTTTCATCTGTGGATCAGACCTTCCAAAACAAATCTATTTTAGGCTGTCAGCTTTAATAAAATACCCTTCATCCTCAGGTGACTTGGTGGAGAGGGGCAGCTGGGGTTGGGTGGCAAGAAGGAATGTGTGTGGCTGAGAACAGAACTGTACGACAGGCTGGGAACTAAAGGGAAACCACGTGCCATCAAGTTCCTCCTGAGAGGCTTCCTCTAAGCTTACCTGGCTCAGCGGACTGTGGAAGTAGCTAATTGTTAGGGTTGGGAATGCACTTTTCCGTCTCTGTAGCCTTAGCTATTAGGAACTAGTTGATACCTGAAACTGGTTTTCTTGTGACTGAATATTCTGAAAACTCTAGACATTTAGAAAGAAGTTGGGGCTAACACTGGGACCTTTATTTACATTCAGTGTACACTGCAGTAATTACATTTTCTGGCACTTTTTGTCTTCCCCATGTCCATTTGGGCTTGTAACAAGCTGCTTGCCTTGCCCCCGAAGGCAGAAACTGGTATACAAGCCTGAAAAATAAATGGCGTGGTTCCCATTTGAATGAATGAGACCTCTTGGTTAAGGTTATATTGTCCGTGGCAAAACCACAATTAGTATAATTAGTTGACTTTTCCACTGTCAAGCATGTTTTCATCCTAAAGAATCCTTGATCACTAATGAGGCAAGGAAATGGTAGAGTTGAACATTGACTTCCTAGGTGTGAGAGGGGAGTCCAGCCCTAGGAGCATTAGTGTTTGGATGTTTTGAGAGCCATGGACCTCTAACTTGCTTTGCTTGCCCTTTGCCTCTCTGATCTGGCCTCAGCTTTGGGCAAGGTGCTCTCTATAACGTGCTTGCTCTGTGAATCCTTCAGGTGAAACAGTCTCGCTTGTGGATGTGGACATCTCTCAGCGGGGCCTGACCTCTCCACACCCTCCAACTCCCCCTCCTCCTCCAAGAAGAAGCCTCAGCCTCCTAGGTATAGTCCCCTCCACTCTGTCTTCTTGTCCTAGTTGGGGGGTGAGCTCTGCAGACCTGTTGTTCTTTGCTAGGAGCCAAACACACTCCTGGGTTTCTAACAATGAACCTGTTATTTCCTTCCCTCTCTCAGCACCCCTGTCACCACCCCAAGGGGCAGAATAGGTCTCTCACTTGCATGCTGTTACAGCCTTTACTGTCCATGGGTTCACTACGTCTGGATTTATCCTGCCCTTAATCTACAGCTAGTGGGCTGCTTTAGGAATGTCCTTCCTTTCCTGCTTTCAAGCAGAGGAAAGCAGATTAAGATGATTGTTGCCCTTTGTGCAAAAAGACAGGGTGAAGGTCGGGCCATCTCGCCCCCGAGGGCAGCCTGGTGACCCTTCTCCCTCTGCTCTGCTCTGCCTTGCTCATTCTGTGCTCGTATTTCTGAACCTCTTGCTTTTGTTCTCTCTTCTAGATGATATCAGTGGGACGCTGCCTACATCTGTCCTTGTGGCTCCGATGGGGTCTTCCCTGCAGTCTTTTCCCCTACCTCCGCCTCCTCCACCCCATGCCCCAGGTTAGCTTAGATTAGAGGCAAGACCTGCAAGAGTTGGGAGCACAAAGTAATACACTTTTGAAGGATGGGAGAAATCTATTTATGGAAATAACAGAACTTAGGGAAAGCTGAAATTTTTTCCCCTTGGCTAGACCAGAACTCCTTGGAAATGAGGCCAAGAACTGATTTTTCTAACCCATTTTATTTATGGAGTTGAATCTGATTTTTGTTAGAAGTAAAAGACTATTGAATTTTTTCGTCTTTTTGCTGCTGAGACTTTTTTAATCCTTGAGTAGACATCACTGAGGAAACTGCCTTAATTTCAGGGTAGTGAGGAGGTTTAATATGTTGCTGGTTTTCAAAGTTCTGTGGTTTTTCTAAACTTTTAGTATTGACTGCAGCCTTGTAAATAAGTACCAAGCATTTAGTAGCCCACACCTGCTTTGCCAGCCTCCAGTACCCAAGGGATAAAATGAGTGAAATCGGCATTCTTTTCTACTTGCTTGGCAAAATCATTACACTTCCTGGGCAAGTAAGCGAGTCACTATTTCCAAGGCTGCTTTACCGGCACTTCACCTCGAGGTGGGAGAAGTTGGAATCGCTCTAGGCTGGTGAAGGCCCTGAAGTAGTCACCTTAGTCAGGTTAGTGAGCAGCTTCCCACCCCTTCTTGGGGTTCAGTGCCCCCACCCATCCTTCACAGCTTACACAAGCCCACACAGCTTTTTGTTCCAGCCCATCCAGCTTTTCCCCACTGCTTTGGCTTCACCCTTTCCAGCTTAGCTTCTAATGCCTTACCCCTCTTCAGTTAGCATCTTCGTTTTGGGGGGAGGGTGTACTTATGGTTGGGAGCATAGAGGGAAAGCAAGTGACCACCGCTCTGTTCCTCTGCAGACGCATTTCCCCGGGTCGCTCCCATCCGAGCAGCTGAATCCCTGCACAGCCAGCCCCCCCAGCACCTCCAGTGTCCCCTCTACCGGCCTGACTCGAGCAGCTTTGCAGCCAGCCTTCGAGAGTTAGAGAAGGTAGGTGGCACCCGAGCACGGGAGGCTCACCGTCTCCCCCACCCCTTAATTCTGTACCTCGTTCCCCTTTTATTACTTTTAGAGGAAGAATTGTTTCCTTGTCTCTATATTTATAGTGACAAGACAATATGCTACTGTTATCAGTTCCATAAATGATATTATAAAATTGAATCTGGGATGGGAGGGGGCAGAATTGAATGCCTTAAGGAAGGGCTGTAGGGAAGTGTTTGCATCGTCGAAGCTGATTGTGGCAGATGAACTGACCTAGGTCCCTCTTCTCTTCTCTGGGCCTTGGTAATGGAATTGTAGGCTTAATCTTCTGTAACTTTGGAGGGCTAAAAATATAACGTTTATTACTGCTGGTTAAGACCCTCCAGTAACTTTTCCCCACTGAAATGCTTTGGAAGGGAGGGCTTCTCCTGTGGTAAGATGGATTGTGTTGAACACTCCGACATTTCTCTGCTTACCACTTGACCACTTTTTATCTTTGCTAGTGTGGTTGGTATTGGGGACCAATGAATTGGGAAGATGCAGAGATGAAGCTGAAAGGGAAGCCAGACGGTTCTTTCCTGGTACGAGACAGCTCCGATCCTCGTTACATCCTGAGCCTCAGTTTCCGATCGCAGGGAATCACCCACCACACTAGGATGGAGCACTACAGAGGTAAGAGGTGCCGGTGTCGGAAGGGGCCTTTCTCTACCTTTGCTGTTTGCTTTTTCATAGGGAGAATTCATAGAAATGGAAGCGTGAATAGGGGAAAAATGTCATAGACTTAATCGAATGCTAATACAAGCACTGCTTTCAGCCACTAGAAGAAAAGTTGGCAAGGGTAGGGAAGAGAGTAAGGGTTCCTTTTAAAATTTATTCTCAGCCTCTTATTTCCCAAACGGAAGGGCCTGGACAAGACTGCTGAAGAACAGAACAAAGCCAGTAAAACTCTACAGAAGGAAGAAATAACCTAGACAAATCCTCCCAAGCTTTGTTCTTACTTAGCATCTAGAGATACTTTCTATTAAATCATATACACGAGGAGGAGAATTTAGTGTTGATTCTGGACTGTTCTGTTCTGAGTTTCTTTTTTTTTTTTTAATATATTTTATTGATTATGCCATTACAGTTGTCCCATTTCCCCCCCTCATTCCCTTCTACCCTACATACCTCTCCCCCCACACTCCCCCCTTTAGTTCATGTCCATGAGTCATATTTATAAGTTCTTGGCTTCTATATTTCCCACACTACTCTTGCCCCACCCCGTCTATTTTCACCCCACCATCTATTGCTACTTATTCTCTGTACCTTCTCCCCCCTTCTCCTTCTCCCTGTTGCTAACCCTCCATGTGATCTTCATTTCTATGGTTCTGCTCCTGATCTAGCTGTCCTCTTAGTTTGCTTTTGTTTTAGGTGTGGTTCTTAATAACTGTGAGTTTCCTGTCCTTTCACTGTTCATCTTTTTTATCTTCTTTTTCCTTGATAAGTCCCTTTAACGTTTCATATAATAAGGGCTTGGTGATGATGAACTCCTTTAACCTGACCTTATCTGAGAAGCACTTTATCTGCCCTTCCATTCTAAATGAAAGTTTTGCTGGATAGAGCAATCTTGGATAAGGGTCCTTGCCTTTCATGATTTGGAATACTTCTTTCTAGCCCCTTCTTGCCTGCAAGGTCTCTTTTGAGAAGTCAGCTGACAGTCTGATGGGAACTCCTTTGTAGGTGACTCTCTCATTTTGTCTTGCTGCTTTTAAGATTCTCTCTTTTATCTTTAATCTTGGCTAATGTAATTACGATGTGCCTTGGTGTGTTCCTTCTTGGGTCCAACTTCTTTGGGACTTTCTGAGCTTCCCAGACTTTGTGGAAGTCTGTTTCCTTTGCCAGATTAAGGAAGTTCTCCTTCATTATGTTTTCAGATAAGTTTTCAATTTCTTCCTCTTCCTCTTCCTCTTCCTCTTCTCCTTCTGGCACCCCTGTGATTTGGGTGTTGGAATGTTTAAAGATAGATGTCCTGGAGGTTCCTAAGCCTCTCCTCATATTTTTGAATTCTTGTTTCTTCATTCTGTACTGGTCAAGTGCGTCTTTCTTCTTTCTGGTCCAAACCATTGATTTGAGTCCCGATTTTCTTCCTGTCACTGTTGGTTCCGTGTACATTTTCCTTTTAATTCACTTAGTGTAGCCTTCATTTTTTCCTCTAATTCATGACCATATTCAACCAATTCTGTGAGCATCCTGATCACCAGTGCTTTGAACTGTGCATCTGATAGGTTGACTATCTCTTAGTCACTTAGTTGTATTTGTTCTGGAGCTTTGATCTGTTCTTCCGTTTGGGCCATTTTTTGGCAGGGGGCGTCAGGCCATGCCTGTCAGGTAGTGAGGGGCAGAGCCTTAGGTGTTCACCAGGGTCAGGCAACCCATGTGGCTGGGTCGTGATGCTGTATGTGGGTCTGGGGTCCGAGAGGGAACAATGGCACTTGCTTCACTCTCTGTTGGATTTCAGTTCCTTCCACTGCTTTCCCCAACCAAACTGGGCCCTTCTGGTGCTGATTCCCGTGTGGGTGGGCTTGTGTACATTCTAGGACCCTGTGGGTCTCTCCAAGGAACTCTCCTGTGAGGCTGGGAGTCTCTTCCTCCTCCTCAGCTCCCACAGGTGTTTTCAGTCTGTGTTTTGAGGCTTTATTTCCCGGTGCTAGGACCCTGGGTTGCGAGGTCTGTCTTGCTCCCCAGTTTTGTCTGGCTTATCTGCACGTGAATGTGGGACCGCCCAGCCTTGTGCGCCATGCCCCCCCCCCCCACCCGTTGCTGTCTTGTGCGCCTGGTGCTACTGCTTTTGTGGCTGTGACCCCTCTCCGCGGGGCTGCCTGACTCCATCCCTCCTACTAGTCTGGATGAATGTGTCTATTTTAACTACTTGGTTGTCAGACTTCCATATAGTTCAATTTTCTGTCAGTTCTGGTGGTTATTTTGTTTCTAAGTTGTTGTCCTTATTTTGATTGTGGGAGGAGGCACAGTGTGTCTACATACGTCTCCATCTTTGCCAGAAGTCCGTTCTCAGTTTCTTTGCCTGACAGTCACATTAGTTTTTCTGCCAGTCCGCACGATGATGGTAATTCCTCTCTTGGTCAGCTTTGTCATGTCTTAGGAGATAGTCATCAGAACTCAGAGAGTTTGTGGAGCCGACATGCTTTAGTCTGCCTGCCGGCCTTGCGGGCGGTACCCCCTCCCCTGTGGTCAGGTCGTGCTCAGTGCTGCCAGCATATCTAGGACACGGCTTGTTAAACACACACTTCACAGCAGGGCATCCTGTACGTGACGTGGGCCAGACCGTTGTAATGGTCCTTAGCAGTGGGGCTGGGTAATGTATCATTTGTTGAAATACCTGCACATACTGTAAATTTTTAAAATGTAGAGAACTTTGAGGATTTGGGGGAGTTGCCTCTCCCACCCTTTACACTCTTCTCACGTGTGATCACCTTAAATGTGCTGTATTGGCCATTCATCTCAAATGATTGTCCCTCGCGCACTTGCCTCTGTCCTGAGGCACCGCCATGTCTTTCTTGCTCTCAGCCACGCTCTGCTGAATCTGGTTGGTTTGCTTCTCTCTCGAGGCAGGAAGTAGCTGTTGAGGTCAGTGTAGCTTTGTCCATGGTGTCCTCTGTCCCCACTTCCGCCTTAGAGATGCATGAAGAGAAAGGAACTTAAGTCCAAAGACCCAAGAGTTCATTACATGACCGTAGGGGAGGCAGCCGCCTATTTTCCTGCTGTTCCAAAAAGCAAAAGTCAAACAACCAAACAAAAAATGGAAAGCAAAGCATTTCAGAGTGAAGTCTTTTTTAAAAAAATATTTTATTTATTTATCTTTAGAGGGGAAAGGAAGGAGAGAAGGAGAGAGGGAGAGAAACATCAATGTGTGGTTGCCTCTCGTGGGTCCCCTGCCGGGAACTGGCCTGCAACCCAGGCATGTGCCCCGACTGGGAATCGAACCACCATCCTTTGGTTCACAGGCCTGCACCCAATCCACCGAGCCACACCAGCCAGGGCCAGAGTGAAGTATTTTTATAAACCTATTAAAATGATAAATGGCCAGGCGATGGGAATGATGAATAAATGTTTGACCTCTAGATTACTGATAGGTGAGATGCCAAGAGTGAGAGAGAGCTTTCAAATGGTTCTCTGGTTACTTTTTGTTCAAAGAGACTTTTCTTCCTTGAATAAGTGGAATTTTTAATAGGAGCCTTGTGGGCCTTGCAGTTGCTGGTTTGCACTGGAGCATCTGTCTTCGTAGTTTTCGGGGATGCGGTGAGAGCAGTTAGAGGGACATAGACCTGCAGTTCTCCCGAGCGATTCACACCCCCTCTGTGGGCGATTCTTTGGATTAAGAGCTTTAGTCTGGGGAGTTTTTCAAGCCATGGGAGTTCAGATTCCCTTTCACCTTTGGGATTCTGAAGTTTGGGGTGTGATCTTTGAAATGTGTTGGGGTATGGAATTTTAGAAGTGAAAGAAAAGACTTAAAATTTTTTTTGTGCCCAACATATACATGAATGGGTAATACCCACAAAACTCCTCTTCTTGACTTTCTTCGACTGTCCGATGAATACTTGAAGACTTAGATCTTCTTGAGGGGGATGTCATTTAAACCTGCTTTGCTATGGCAGCCTTTTAAAAATATTCTTCAGTTACAACTGACATTCAGTGTTAGTTTCCGGTGGATTGCATAGTGATCACACATTTACATAACTTACAAGGTGATTCCCCGTGGGAAGTCTAGTACCCACCGGACACCATACCCAGCATCACAGTATTTTTACTGTACTCTCTGGACTGGACTGGACATCCCCGGGACTGTTTTGTTACCTGCCAATCTGTACTTCTTTACTTAATCCCTTTACCTTTTCACCCAGCCTCTCAATTCCCCTCCCCTCTGGCAGCTGTCAGTCTGTTCTCCGTACCTATGAGTGTGTGTCTGTTCTGTTCTTTAGATTCCACATATAAGTAAAATCATATGGTACTTGTCTTTGAGTTGTGTCATTTGGCGTAAGACCCTCTTTGTCCCCGTATGCTTTCGCAGTAGGTACGGTTTCCTTCCTTTTGATGGCCAAGTAACAGTCCATCGTGTATATGCACCACAGCATTTTCATCCGCTCGTGTACTGATGGACACTGGGGCTGCTTCCGCACCTTGACTGTTGTAAATAACACTGCAATGTACATAAGGGTGCATATATTCTTTCAGAATAGTGTTTTTTGTTTGGGGGGGTATATACCCAGAAGTGAACTTGCTGGGTCATAGGAAGTTCTATTCTTAATTTTTTGAAGACCCTCCATACCGTTTTCCATAGTGTCCGCACCAGTCCGCATTCCCACCGACAGTGCACGAGGGTTCCCTTTTCTGCACATCCTCACCCACACTTATTGTTCATTGATTTGTTGACAGTGGCCATTCTCACAGGTGTGAGGTGGTATCTCAGCGTGGTTTTAATTTGCATTTCTCTGATAATTAGTTACGTTGAGTATCTTTTCATATGTCTTTTGGGCCATCTATATTTCCTCTTTGGAGAAGAGTCTATTCTGGTCTCTGCCCCCTTTCAATTTTGGGTTGTTTGTTTTTTTGGTGTCAAGGTATATGAGTTCTTTATCAATTTTGGATATTGATCCTTTTTTAAAAAATATATTTTATTGATTATGCCGTTACAGTTGTTCTATTTCCCCCCTTTATTCCCCTCCACCCTGCACACCCCTCCCCCACCATTCCCCCCCTTTAGTTTATGACCACATGTCTCAAGTTCTTTAGATTCTATATTTCCCCTACTATTCTTGCCCTCCCCCCTATCTATTTTCTACCTACTGTCTATGCTATCTGTACCTTCTCCCCCCTTCTCCTTCTCCCACTCCCCTGTTGCTAACCCTCCATGTGATCTTCATTTCTTTGATTCACTCCTGATCTAGCTGTCCTCTTAGTTTGCTTTTGTTTTAGGTGTGGTTCTTAATAACTGTGAGTTGGCTGTCCTTTCACTGTTCATCTTTTTTATCTTCTTTTTCTTAGGTAAGTCCCTTTGACATTTCATATAATAAGGGCTTGGTGATGATGAACTCTTTGAATTTGATCTTATCTGAGAAGCACTTTATCTGTCCTTCCATTCTAAATGAAAGCTTTGCTGGATAGATCAATCTTGGATGTAGGTCTTTGGATTTCATGACTTGGAATACTTCTTTCCAGCCCCTTCTTGCCTGTAAGGTCTCTTTTGAGAAATCAGCTGACAGTCTGATGGGGACTCCTTTGTAGGTGACTGTCCCCTTATCTCTTGCTGCTTCTAGGATTCTCTCCATTTTAATCTTGGCTAATGTAATTATGATGTGCCTTGGTGTGTTCCTTCTTGGGTTCAACTTCTTTGGGACTCTCTGAGCTTCCTGGATTTCCTGGAAGTCGATTTCCCTTGCCAGAACGGGAAAGTTCTCCTTTATTATTTGTTCAAATAATATTTGCACTCGTGGCTGTTCTTCTTCCCCTTCTGGTACCCCTATAATTCGGATGTTGGAGCATTTAAAGATGTCCTGGAGGTTCCTAAGCCTCTCCTCATTTTTTTTAATTCTTGATTCTTCATATTTTTCTGTTTGGTCATTTTTTCCTTCCTTCTGGTCTATTCTCTTGATTTGAGTCCCAGTTTCCTTTCCATCACTATTGGTTTCCTGTGCATTTCCCTTCATTTCAAGTAGTTTAGCCTTCATATGTTCCTCTAATTTGTGACTAAAATCAACCAGTTCTGTGAGGATCCTGATCACCAGTGTTTTGAACTGTGCATCTGAAAGTTTGGCTATTTCTTCATCACTTAGATTTATCAACTCTGGGGCTCTGAGTTGTTCTTGAGCCATGTTTTGATCTGTTCGTGCCTGTTACATATGAGGAGCAGAGCCTTAGATGTTTACCAGGGTGGGGCCACCCAGGTCCCTGGTTTGTGAAGCTGTATGTGGGGGCGTGGTCAGAGAGGGGCCACACAGGTCGCTGGTTTGTGACTATATGTGGGGGCAGGGTCAGAGAGGGACAATGGAGGTCCCCTCTGCCACTTCCTGCCACTGGGGCCTGCACGGTCCGTCTCACCACTCGCTCCTTCACCAGTTTATGGTTTATCTGAGCGCAATTGTGTGACTGCGGTCAGCCCTCAGTGGGTCCACCAGCTGCTACTCCACACCTGGGATCCGCCCACGGCTGCCTGCACGCCTGGGTCACGCGCCCAGTCGGTCTGGTGGGTCTTTCCTGCCCGACCCGGCTCTGCTGTTGGCTCTGCGCCTTTTACCGATTTGGCTGAAGGGTTCGTTGTTGTCAGACTTCCATATAGTTTGATTTTCTGTGGTTTGGCTGCATTTTTGTTGCTAAACTTTATTATTTTTAAACTTGGTTGTGCAAGAAGGCAAAGTGTTTCCACCTACGCCTCCATCTTGGTGGAAGTCCCTGGATATTGATCCTTTATCAGAGATATCATTGGTGGATATCTTCTCCTGCTCAGTAGGTTGTCTTTTCATTTTGTTGATGGTTTCCTTTGCTGTGCCAAAACTTTTTAGCTTGAGGTAGTCCCATTTGTTTGTTTTTCTTCTGTTTTTCTTCCCCAAGGAGATATATCAGAAAAAATATATTTAAAAAAAAGAAATTCAATAAAGTATTTTTATATCTTTTTTCTGACTTGAATTTATTTTTTACTTTAACAAGAGCCTTGTAAGACCTAATGTATGTCTTATCAAAGGCAATATCTTTCTTTTCACTAACTTTAGGACAGGCAGTATTGGTGAACCAGGTGGCTTCAGGGACCTTTGTCTGACTCAGCTTCCCCATGAAATCTTGCCCTCCAGAAAGTGAGAATCATAAAAATGTGCAAACCAGCCTCCCAGGTCTTTTTAAAATGCTTTATGTTCTCACCTCTTAATTTTCCATGGCAGGAACGTTCAGCCTGTGGTGTCATCCCAAGTTTGAGGATCGCTGTCAGTCAGTGGTGGAGTTCATTAAGAGAGCCATCATGCATTCTAAAAATGGGAAATTTCTCTATTTCTTGAGATCCAGGGTTCCAGGTAAGGCTGTAGTTATTACAAAATTATTTAACTAACTTGGGTATGGCCCAGTATAGTATCAAAATGCACCCCTGCACCCTGCCAAAAAAAAATCCACACTTAAAGCCTTATCATCCTGGCTTTTATAGCAGTTACTCTTTCTAGAGCCCAGTGGGTAATCCCCTACCCTTGTACCTTAATCCCTTAACATGTTGAGAAGGAATCTCTGCTTCTCTGACCACATGAAAGAGAAAACTGACCTTCCACTGACGTCCAGGCATCGTGTGAGTGTTTTCACCCAGAAATGTCTTCTTGTCCCTGATCCAGGCGTCTTACACCCACATGTGAAATGGAGGTGAGAGCAATTGTATCATTTCCACAGAACCAGGGAAGGTAAAGAGAGTGAGTGTTTACTAGAAAGGCACCGGTGAGGGTCAGGGATGCCGAGTTCATTGGCAGTCTGCTCCAGGTTTCGTCCTTGTCTTACTAAACGTCTCGTTAAAGAGGAGCCTGTGTCCCTACCAGTGTTGAGCACAAAAACTTTTCTCCCTTTGCGAGTGCTGGGCAGCTCCCGTCCTGGCTGGTGTGGTTGTACAGTCTTGCTGCCCACTAAGTAGAGAGGTATCTGGATAATAGCTACTGAAGGGGGTGATTTGGAGGAATCTGCTTTAAAGTATTGGGAAAAGTAAAATGAAAAGCATATAAATTGAGGCATTTGTAAAATACAAATAGAACTTAAAATGAGAATGTCATGCTTTCCCATTGAATCAAATTAACATGTTTAAACAAACGGTGCCAAAAAACTGCTCTAAAAAGAAGTTGCGGGGAGCCTCAGGCAGAACATCAGGATCGAGCCGGTTACAGGAATGTGTTTTATTATCTCGGTGATTTAAATAAGGCTTGATGGGGTGCGAACTGTATTAATTCTCACCTCATTTAGTATTTGCCTCAGTGCTGTCAACACATTTGGGTCTGATGCAGTTGACTTGGTTAGAGGGAAAAGTTAGAATCCCTTTCTTATAGGAATTGACCTTGCTTAGCAATTTTTAAAGTTTGTAGCTTTGGGGGCGTATTTATTTAACAAACATTTACTTTGTATCTCAGTACTGAAAGTAAGCCACCTTTCTGCCTTCAGAAAGCCCACAGCCTTGAAGGGGAAACAGGAAGAGGAAGGCAGTAGCACAGGTGAAGTCAACAGTAGGCATGACCGGGGCCAACAGGGGCAGGCCAGTGTCCCGTGGGTGAGCCAGGGAAACCCTCTCGAAGGGTCCCGAAGTCGGGGCGTGTGTCTCCTTATAGAGCATTGATTCATGGAGTCTTGGACCCCTCAAGTATGGCTCATTTCATTGCACAAATGTGCCCTGTCTGCAGGAATTTTAACTAAGATTCTTAACATTGTTAATGGCTAAAGATTGTAATAATCACTACTATTTATTGAGTGTCTGCCATGTGCCAGCTACTTTGTCGGGTTCTTCATTGCCATCTCTCTAGGTTCTTCAGCTGACAGGTTGGTCTGTTATTTATGGATAAGACTATTTCCAGATTGCCAGTGAGTAAACTGAGGCTGATGCTCAAAAGTGAAGTTACTCTAACGGTCACTTAGCTGATCGGTGCTGAAGCCGGGGTTCAGCCCCAGCCCCAGCTGGCTGCAGACCCTGTGCTTTGTTTACCACCAGTCTGTCATGGGAGGAAGTAGCAGTAAGCGAACAGGAGCACTAGGATTTGCAGAGACCACATAAAGAAGACAGAATTGTGTTTGTTAGTGGAAGGTGCCTTTTTGTGACGAAGGCTGCAAGTAAGACATCTCTTTGCACTGAAAAGTATAATCGAGTCGAGAAGGCAGGACAGTGAGTATTTGCCCCTGGACCCTAAGTGACCTCTCTTTGAAGGAATGGAACAGAGAAGGCAAAGCCTGCGTTCTCCTTCACTTGCTGGCTGCCCTCCTTTGCTGGTCATAAAGGTCTAGGCATTCCATGAGGTCGGCTTATCAGAGGCAAGGAATTGGTGTGGGGAGAGGTAGCTGTAGCATTTAGGTTGAGCTCTGCCATCCTGCACGAGGGATTTTAACTCAGGCGATTTGGAAAGGAGACTGTTCACATTGGCATGGTGATAACCGAGTGCCCACCAGGGCCGGGTGTTATTTCATCTAACCCACACAGAATCCTTTGAAAGCATATCACAGTCTCACTCTCTCTTTGAACAAACTGGAAAACTGAGGTGCAGTTTGTTGCAGAGCTAGGAGTCAAAGTCAGGTTTTCTCTGGCTCAAATCTAGAGTTGGATGCACCAGCAGGGCATCCAGACTTGTGTTAAAGGGACATCAGGGACGATAGGAATCATAGAGCTAGGCCTACTGGGAAAGCTTTGGATGGGGACAAATAAGAAGCAAAAGGAATTAATTAGAACAAATGGAATAATTAGCACCTGGGGGGGGGGACCCTTGGTAAAAGCGATGGCACCTGGAGCCGGTTTCCCTTTACCTCTTGTCATCGGCACTGAAATATGGTAATAACAAATGGGAGGTCACTGATTACATTCCATTCTGGTCCATTTCACAGTCATAAACTAAGTCCTGAACACCAGGCAGCAGTCTCAAAGAGAAAATGTGATCGGCTTGGCACGTTAGTGAGCGCATTCTTAGTTGGGAGAATCTTTACCATCTGTGTAGTGCATGAAGATAAAATACTTTGTTTTTTAATCATACTTTGAATTAACTAGGAGCAAACCAGTCACCTCCTTTTGTGTCATCATTTTTGAGGTTATACTTGTTCGCTCAGTGATACACCTTCCCTGTGCCCCAGGGTTTCTCAGTTGAGGGCTGTTGACGTTTTGGGCTGGATAATCCTGGTCTTCAGGGAACACTTGGTGTGGCAGAAAGACCTACATGTCCCTGTTTTAGACCTGGAAGACATTTGTCACCTCTACCCTGGTCCATGTTGGGGGGAGGGGAAGTAATGAAGTATCTGGTAACTGGATTTGTGCCCCACACCCCTGGCATGAGGACTAGAGGAAAGTTCCCGATGATCCCTGTTCACCTTGTCCTTTCCCTTTTAGCTATGCTGGTGTCTAACCTTGGCTTTATTTCCATTTTCACCCCTTCGGTTAACAGGCTGTGGATGGAGAGCTCCAGTCATTCGCTGTGTTAGGGGGCAAACAGTGAATGGTCAGGCTGACACCAGGGAACATCAGAGAGTTAACAGGTTTTGAATTGCTATTTGTGTACCTAAGGCTGAAAGTAACACAGTAAAAGAGGCAAGAATGTGTAGTCATTAAAATTCAGGTAGGCAAATAATCAGATAATTGTATGCTGCTTATTCTGATTTTTTTTAGGCACAAGTCCTATAGTACTGAATCTTTGAGAATAAATAATTAGATTCATAAATTACTTTCAACTCTGAAGCATCATGTTGAATTTAACAATATTACAACCAATCCCCAAAAGCTTTCTGTTGGCCTAGGTTAACTCACTAAAGAATATTTTTAGAACATATGAGAGAAAGGGGAAATTCAAAGAGGCATTTGAACCCAAAATAACTTTTAAAGCCACTTGAGTTTAAAAATATATATATATATATTTTTGAAGTATATGATGAAATTTTGTGTGTATATATATATATATACACACACATACACATATATATATATTTAGATTTTATTTATTTTCAGAGAGAAGGGAAGGAGAAAGAGAGGGAGAGAAACATCAATGTGTGGTTGCCTCTTGCACACCCCCTACTGGGGACCTGGCCCTCAACCCAGGCAATGAACCGGTGACCCTTTAGTGTTGCAGCTGTATCCTAAAGAGTCCCGTAGTTTGTGACTGAAGACGAGAACAAATGCACACAGACTACAGCGTCCTGTGGAGGAAAGGGGATGGTGCAGGTACTGTCTCACGGCGAGAGTCCTGCAGCTGCTTCTCTCCAGGGGAGAGCGCCCCCAGCCTTGCCTGGACAGGCTTTTATTGCGTCTCTCGGGTCTTACATCAAAGAAGGATTTATTATCTATTACATGATAATAAATGAATGTTGTTGTCTACATTTTAGGCACAAGCAAGGAAACGAAAATAAACGCAGAAGGGAAAGGTGGCGAGCCGATTACGCTCCGTCCTTGGGAAAGTTTATACAGCTTTGGAAATTACCTTGAAGACAGACAATAAACATCCACTGTTTCAGGCCAGGGCGAGGGAGTTTTAGCAAGAGCAAGCCAGACAGTCTGGATGCGTTTCCTGGGCCTGGTTCCCACGGGGAAACCGGTCCGAGGGTCAGGCTCCTGCCCGCCACTTCGCTCCTGTCGGGTTTCCGATGCAGGGCTGAGCCACATATGCCGTTGCCAGAGAGACCGGTTCCGTACACTGCACTTTGGTTCACGGGCCCTCGCTCAATCCACTGAGACACACCAGCCAGGGCAGTTTAAATATTTAAAAGAGAAATCCATATTTGAATTCTTGTTTTTTAAATGATGTGTGAGGAGAGGGCTGATCACATGGGTGGAGTGGGGCTGCAGCACTGCAAACACAAGCCTTTGGCTTGGAAGGGCAGGAGAGGACCAGAGGGCGGGAGAGGCCGGCCATTTGGACCCGAGGGCCATTCCCTGGGCCGGACTCTCCCTCAGACAGCGGGTGTTGGAGGCAGGGCAGCCTCGCTGGGTCTGTGCCGTGAGCATGTTCTCTGAGCCAAGTGGGCCTCAGTTTCTGCCTCTGTGAAATGGGGTGATATTTGTCTCAAAAGTATAGATTCAAAGACTAAATGAATTAAATGTTTTCAAGGTAAGCCTGTTTGCTTAGGAACAGTACAATATGTATTTTGGTTTGTTTTTTTTTTTTAGATAGTTGTCAACCATCATGTAAAGGCTCTGGGAGGCACTCTGCAAGCTCTTATTTGTTTCCTCTCATGCCTTGAAACAAAAATTTAAAACTTTGACATTAAACTTACAAAATAGTAGCTATTTTATTTTCCAACAAATTGTGTCTGCAGGATTTCTTTTGCTAGGACAATGGCTGAGGAAAAAATTTTTCAAAGATTTTGCAACTCAGATTTTTTCCAAGGGCAGTTTGCTTATTTACTTCCCGTAGCCCCTTTGTGTGTTGAAACCAGGGTGCCCTTTGTTCCTTTGAACCTGTGTCAGGGTCCCTGCCGTTCTGCAGGGGTTGGAATTTCCCAGCCCAGAGCCTGCTGCTGATACCGATGAAGCATCGGGGCGTGGGGCTCCCACTGGGCAGGGCCGGCATCAGTCCGCAGGCTCTCGTGCACCGAGCAGCACTCATTCCGGCTCGCCCAAGCTGCTGTAGTTGCTTTGCTTTCAATAGCATTATCCTCTTCTCTGTTCCTGCACCCAGTCTAAAATTTCAGAAGCAGGAAGGGTGGTTGGGGGTGAGAAATAAGAAGTGGCTAAACCTGCTGGCCCTGGCTTGAAGTAAATGACAGGAGTGATAGGCCTGGAAACTCGGATCCCAGCTGTTACCTTCTCCTTATACCAGCCTCTCAGTTGCAAGTCGGCGGGAACCCCTCCGAGCAGCCTGCCCGAGGCTTCCCCTTCAGGATCCTTCTATGTGTGCCGAACAGGTGCTCCCATTCCCAGCAGGGATGCCTTCTGTTCTTACCCTTCCCTGAGAGCCTCAGGCCTGGGATTGGCCACTTGGCTCCCAGCAAAGTCTGTAGCTTGGCATTTCTCTTTGGACTGTTCTGAATCGCAAGGTTCTCAGCTGTTAAGAATGATGTTAGGCCCTGACGGGTGTGTCTCAGTGGCTCGGGCGTCCTCCCTCAAACCTGACAACGTTGCCGGTTCGACTCCCAATCAGGGCGCATGCCTGGGTTGCAGACCTGTGGGGGTGTGCAGGAAGCAGCTGACTGATGTTTCTCACACACATTGATGTTTCTTTCCCCGTCTTTCTCTCTCTCTCTACCTCTTTCCGAAAATAAATAAATAAATAAATGGATGGATGGATGAATGAATGAAATCTTTAAAAAAACTTGAAGCCAGGGAGGCCCTTGGCCGGGAAGAATAGATTTCTCTAAAGTGAAATGTGGCCGTGCTGCACCTGCAGGTGGAAGTCAGCGGTCCTTCGGGGAAGAAAGCGTTTGCACAGAACACGTGGATGAACTGTAAAGAAGCCCATTTCCTTTGCCTGGACTCTCTTCCTAAGGGAAACTGTAGTTAGTTACATTGTTCCCTCTGAATGTTTCTCTTGGTTTCCATTCTCGAAGGACTGCCACCAACTCCAGTCCAGCTGCTCTATCCAGTGTCCCGATTCAGCAACGTCAAATCCCTCCAGCACCTTTGCAGATTCCGAATCCGACAGCTCGTCCGGATAGATCACATCCCGGATCTCCCACTGCCTAAGTACGATGCGGTCTCGAAGGTGGGGGCCGGCAGGAGGGTTGGTTACAGATGTCAGTGAGGCTGGCAAGCCGGTTGCACAGGCAGAGCCTGGCGGTGTTCACAGGCATCCTCCTTTCCCTTCTCCTGTGTCTTGGCACCTGACTCTACAGCTGTCACATTGCAGCCAGAAGGAAAGAAGGTGTGTGTGTGTGAGCCTCCCTTCTGCAGTCTCTGCGAAGGATGGAGGGGAGGAGACAGACTATGTAACAAGTGAGAAAATGGGGATTCTGTTAGGGTAGCAGAGTCTTTGGTGTAGTCTCAGTCACAGGGGTTGAGAGGAAGGAAGAAGATTGAACAAAGATGGTCTTTCATGGTCTTTGTAAATGACACTGTGTGTGTATCCCTCTTGCGTTTTTTACAGGCCTCTGATCTCCTATATTCGAAAGTTCTACTACTATGATCCTCAGGAAGAGGTGTACCTGTCCCTAAAGGAAGCGCAGCTCATTTCCAAACAGAAGCAAGAGGTGGAACCGTCCACGTAGCGAGGGGCCCCTGCTGGTCACCACCGAGGGTATGCACTTTCCGCCTCTCCGTTCAGCCACGCCTCTTCCTGGGCAGTTGTCATCGTGCATGGGCCTTGTCCCCCCCACCCCTGCCACCCCGTGTGTATGCCCCTGACCCAAGCATCTGCCCATAGTTACCACATCTGATAATGGGGTCCCCAAGGGGCACCCCCATTGGAGAAGAGCAGAGAGACGAGGGAGACTTAAAGAATATTTGTCAAGCCACGTGCAGGCCAGCCACTCAACATGACGGAGGAGGACGACACCCACATACAGTAGCGAAGTGTGCAGCCTGCTCCCACTCTGGCCGATCCCCCTGACACCGCACAAGTGACACGCAAAGCTAGGAACCAGAGTGGAAGGAGACTTCACCAAAGGAAGCACAGACATGCCTTGACTGTAATAGGCAGGCACTTGAGTGAGGGCTCCACTGTGCCCCACGGCTTGGAATGGGGGGGGTGCGGAAACAGCTCTCCCTTCCCTTTAGAGTCCCATTCGGGCCACTCTGAAGTCATTCGTTCAGTAGAATAAGTGAATTAACTAAGGAGTTCGTTTATCTAGGAGGCTATCCTCCTGTTGCCACACTGAGTCTATTTATTTATCTTCCCATAAAAGCTTGTGGAATACTGATTTGTGCAGATGGGTTTTAATTAGTCTTTTAAATTTCATTAATGTGAACACTGAACAGTAGAGGTGAGTAGGGAGCAAAGCTGCCGCGGAGTAGTGACTGTGGGAGTGCGGGTTGATGTGCACGCCTCCCATTCCAGTGCGTGGGTGCGGTGGCGCCCACCCCCAGCTTTCCTCTGTGCAGTTTCCTGGCTAAGCCCTGAATACTTCCCTTCTAACCTCTGTGCCCTAGTCCCAATCCCCATAAAAAACAAAGGGGGAAAAATCACAAGTGCAGCCACCTTAGAGAGGCTTCAGTAACTGCACCCTCTCTGCTCTCTCCGCAATGACAGTGACAGTTGGTGTCTGTGTCCCATGGGTGTCCCTGAGCCACGGCTAAGGTGAACCTGCTGTGTGTCTCCCCCAACTCTGGAAGCCTTCGGCCCTGCGTTGGGTTGGGAGAGGGTGCAGGAGGGGAGCGCGCTAGTGAGGGTTAACCAGGGGAGAAGGGATGAAAAGGAGAGACCAGCAAATGGTAACTCTGGAAGGCTGTGGAGTTTTGACTTAAAGGATCCTGGGTGGAATGTATAATATCTAAGATGTTCAATTATATGCAAATTGTATGTCCTCAGAAATGTCTCCTAAAACATCTAAAAGCCTGAATGTTTAGTAGCATTTCTCTGCTTGGTGGCTTTGTGGCTGAGATGAGGGTGGGAAGGAAGAAGAGGACGCAGGAGGCCCACCTGCCTGACCGCACCCTTGAGGAGTAATAGGGCCCTTCGGTCGGAGTGCCACGCCCTGGGGGGCTGGGGATGGCGCACGTGGTCAGGAGCACGTTCACAGAAAGACCCCCCGGGATGGTGGAGGGTTCCAGACTTCTTCATGTGGGAGTAAATGATGGACGTGAGCAGGGAGGTCAGGGTGGGAGAGGCTCGATGGCTCGGAGACGGAGGTGATGGGTTTTCTAAGGAAGAGTGTGAACAATTCTGTGTGGTCTGGGGGGCGGGACAGGGCCCACAGTGGGTGTGAGTTGTAAGGATTTAGATTTTAGTTCAGCAGAAGTAAAACCTTTCCAACAGAGAGGGCCGAAAGCGGAATGGGTTTGCCACAGGAATTGGTGAGTTTGCCATTTTTAAGTTCATTCGGCAGATAGTGTCTATGTGTAGAGCATCGGCTTGAACTGGGAACAGAGGGCTGAGCAGGTCGTCAGAGGCCGCGGTCCCACCGAGCCGCCGTTCTCACTGGGAGGGACAGGTGGCAGACACATGAACAGGGCGTCAGTTAGTTTCAGTCGCCTGTTCGCGTCATGAGGAAAGTAAAACTAAGTGAAGCTTAGTGATCAGGGTGCCACTCAAGTTTAGATGACCAGGGAAGGCTCCCGTGTGGGTGGTGACAGTGCAGCCGACTGCAGATCCAGGAGTCTGCCATGAAAGGGCCTGGGAACAGAGCATTCTGGGTAAAGGGCCCCTCGGTGGGAAAGAGCATGATGCGGTCAGGGATAGGCTGGGCTTAGCCCCGTGTTGGCAAAGGACCCGACCGAACTCCCAGGGTCTCTTCTTACTGTGGCGCTGGCCTTGTAGCCTGTGTCAAAGGAGGAGCATCCTGCTGTGCTCACACTTGCTCCTGGTGTAGACCCTCGGGCCTGTTGGGAAAGGGCAGTAACACTTCTCAAGGGTAAAATTTGGTCATTATGACTTCTTGTTGGTCAGAAGATTTTAATTTGGGAGTTCTGAGTGGACCACTTGGTCTGTTACCTAAGGAATTTCATGCCAGGGTGTTTGGGGTGTAACAGCACAATCAGAAGGTAGAAGCTGCACAGGCCTCCATGCACAGGTGGTGACATATCAACCCTCTTCAATAGCCAGCAGCTGCAGAGGCCTGCGGCTCCTCTAACCATGTTCTCAAGGCGTCACTCCAGGCCTCGGCTCCTTTTTTAATCCCTAGAGCAGGTGGGCCTCGGGGAGAAGTGGGGCGGGGAGAATGGGTGGAGAGTTAAGGGGTAAGGGAAATGGAAAGAGGAGTTAGGCAGTGTGGCAGGGTGTAGTTATTTCAGAACCTCTTTTCGGCATCCAGGTTCGAGGCTGCTCAGGCCTCCTGACAGAGGCCGCTGCCACAGTGTTTGTGGAAGTGATTGGCTGGCCAGACTCCAGTTCTGCTTTGGAGCCACACCCTAGAGGCGAGGCTGTTCTTTCACGCTGTTTCGTTCCACTCTGTTGAGCCACTCTAATTTCTTTCCCCTAGGCATTTGGTTGCCAAGCTCCGATTTCAAAGAACCAGATGAAGGTACCATGAAAAGAGGAGTGAGAAAAAACAAGAGGAAATGGGAAGGGTTGGGACCCTCTGCGCAAAGACTTGGGTTCCCCTGGCCACCCCGGGCTGGGAAGAAGCACACGACCGTCCTCTCCGAGCAGGGCCCCACCTTTCCCACCCGGCACCTCTGGTGTCCGGGAACTGGGCGAGCTCCCGGAAAACTGGAAGAAGTCTCAACACTGTTCCCTTTTCACAAGTTTTGTTTCGGATATTTACGTTTCTCGGTGTGGAAAACTCACAAAGGCAGCTGGGGTTTATGCCCACTGGGTTGGAAGTGGTGCGAAGGGCGAGCAGGTCCAAAGGAGGTGGTGGGCCAGGGGTGGGGGCGCGGGTGGGACGTCACCAGTCCTGCAGCCGTCTAGCAGCTGGTGCCGAAGGCAGGGTGCAGGTTTCACCGTTGACCTTGAAGAAGGGAAGGGAAGGAGTCAGAAGTGCAAATCAAGTGAGAAGTGTCTGAGGGATGAGAATCTGCTTCTCTCTGAGCACGGGTAGCTTCCGTGGGAGCAGCAGGGAAAGGAGTGGGCGGCCGCAGGTTACTGGACAAAGACTGGCAGATGGCCTCTGCCAGGGGAAGCAGTGCCCCCTCGCATCCTTTCCTTTTAAGACAGGAATCTGATTTCAGAATCACCTCTCACAGAAGCTGGACTTAGTTCGTTTTATTTAATTTTTAAGCTCCGTGACCTCATTTTAGTCCCGTTCTTCCCCCACCCTCTACCCGTTACCCAGGGTGACTGTCCGTTTGCTTTGGTCGTGGCAGCGTTGTTCCCGTCGCTTCCGCCAGCTGTCAGGGCGGCAGTTTTTCTTGTCACCTGAGCAGTGGCGCTCCCGTTGTGGGCTTGGCGAAGTCAACGGAGCGTGTCCCCTGATTCTAACGGCGCAGCGTGCCTGTGACTTAGGAGTCAGTGCTGCTTACCTCCAGTGTCTGTGGGCTGGGGCAAGGGAGTGGGCGGAAGGTGCGAGACGCAGCTGTGTGGTTGTGCCCCTCCGAGAGAGCTGTCTGGCGTCCCCACCTTTGTGGGGTGTCCTTAGAGCAGAGCAGAGGAGGGTGTCACTTCTCCTTCTGTGTGTGCCGCTGTCACCCCACTGCTGGACGGGCAGCCAGCAAGGGCTTCTTAATTTTCCCGTGTTCTTCCTGGCAGCCCAGACGTTTTCCTGTGTCAGGAGCTGGTTTCAGCGTTGCCTGTCTTGCAGCTGGAAGTGAGAAGGAGGAAGAAAAGCCCCAGTGCTTCTCCATGGTCTTTAATGTTTTCTGAAGCAGGCCATCGTCAACTCATACAAGGTTATGAGTTTGCTTTTCTGTAGAATTACTCTAGGGAAGGGTTTGCTATTAAGATGTGAAAATTGAGCTGTTTGGTCTTTATTACTCTTTTGCAGTAAGTGTCCCACTAGACTGCCTCTTCCCCTGTGTCTGTCTGCCTCGTCTCGTAAGATAAGTAATGCTGTCAGGCTTGCGGCCTCCCGATGGTCTGGGGGAGGCCTCGGTGTCCTGTAAATGTACAGGACTGCCTCATCAGGAGGCCTTGCCTTCTGCCTCACGACCGGCGCGGCGCGGCCAGTCTTCCTCCTTGTAGCTGAACAGGGAGGAACTGGTGTTGTCACTTGCCTCTGAACAGGTGGTCTACACGTGAGCTGTAAGCCATAAACACAGTCCACCTCTGATTTGTCAGGAGGCACCTCTTCTGTCTTTGGCTTCCATGGAATGACAGCTGTTTCAGATTTTGATCCCGGAGATTGGCTTAACCTGTGAGTCTTGCCTCTTGAGGGTGTGGACTAACTCGCCACCTCGCAGAAAGCGCCGCCCCCACCCCACCCTGCCATGGTAGAGCCCAAAGCCTGGAATCCATTGGGATCCTTGAGTGGCTGATGTGCAACTACCTGGCACTTTTATTCTTTAACCATTTTTGCCACTCATAATTTAAAAAATAGTTTTTTTAATGTGTGTGTGTTTGCCTGCCTCTGGGGTAGGTACTGTGGGGAACACTAGAAGCAGAGGACACGGCATCCGGCCTTCAGAAGCTTTGAGGTGACCGCCACACGTGAAGCAACCAGAGAACGACTCGGTGTGGCAGAGAGCTGGGCTGTCTGTGCACAGATGCAGAGTGGGCGCAATCAGGGTGGTGCAGGGAAGCTCTGAGGCCATGAGGCTTTGGGCTGTAGGCGGGGGCAGGACCATGAGTTGAGAAACACATGAACTGGAACCTTGGAAGCAGGAGTCTGCACAGTATATACTTAAAGTGCACGCCCCGAGTTAGAGCAGAAGCACTTAAGAGTCCGTTTTCAGTGGGGTGGCCTAGACTGAAACTTCTTAGTCACTGGGCACATCTGAATGCTGAGGGCTTATGGCAAAATGGTCCGAAGCCAAAAGTCAGCTTGGTTCTGCCCGTGGCCAAGGACCTCACTGCTCTCAGTGCAGCCTGGGTGAGTGAGGCAGAGCCCCTGGGCCCCTGTGGTACCAGGTTTCCTTGGGGAAAATCCTACACTCAGGTACTAACCCAAACCCACTGAGGTGGCCCAGCCGCACCCCTGTCCTTGCGTTTCCTGGGAGTGGTGGTGGCTGCCTGCGTCTGTGCCCTCTGTGCTTCCGTCCTAGCCCAGACTGCATCCCGGTTTTTTCCTCAGCAGCACGGGCTGCAGGACAGAGTTGTGCAGGGGGAGGCAGGCCCCTCGGGAGGTGTGGGGGAAGGGGCAGGGCGGAGGTGCCGGCCTGGTCGCAGGAGGAACGCAGCAAGAGCAGCTGGCCTGTGGTCAGCACTGCCCTTCGTCTCTCCTGGCTGGGCCCACCCTCTCCGTGGCCAGTTCTGCGCTGTGCTCGTTGGATGCAGTCTGCGTAGGGTACTTACTCCTTTTGGATTGTGTTTTAAAGTCACACACTGGAAGGGGTCCTCACCCCTCACTGATTTCTGAGCTGTGGGCAAATGAAGTCAGTGCCCTTCGTCCTTGCCTGTGTGGCCCTCACTTGGTTGCAGTCAATCTGCTGTAACTTCCCTCAGGACGCTGTGAACCACTGTGAGCTGGTGACAACTACTGCTACAACTGGCCATGACTTGAAACTTGTGTAGGAGCACAGGGGTAAGGAGGGGAGGAGCTTTGGTGTAGGGACTGGGTAAGTGGGTGACAGCTGGGAGTTCAGGACCGTTGGCGACGACCTTGGCCCTGTGGACAGCCTGTGCCTCGTTGTAGGGAATGCACACTCACTGGAATGCGAGCCGCGGCCTGCAGCCATCAGCCTCCGTGAAGACTGGTGTGCCCGGAGGGGGGCGTTTCCACCCAGTCGATATGCCTCCGCCTCCTTTCCTCTTTTCACGTAGCTGGTTATGCAGGCCCCTTATTAAAGTTGGAAATGATGTTGAGATAGCTGCAAGCCCCCTACAGTGCACACCCAAGAAGAAACTGGGGAACAGGGAGGGTGGTTAGTGGTCCCAGATCTGGGTGTGAGAGACCGGAGTGCAGCTGGATGCCCTGGGGCCTGGCCCATTCAGGCCTCACCAGAGCCCCAAGAAAAGCAAGGCCTGCTAGGAGCCCTCAGGGCCCAGCAGGGCATGGGGATGGGAGGGACTTCCACCGTAGGTTCCACGTGTCTGGCCCTGCTGCTTCTCCTGTGGCCATGAGCCCTGAGGTAGGTCGGAGGCCTGGCCACCGGGATAGAGCCCCACGGCTGCTGGAGGGCAGGCGGGAGTTGTGTGCGCGTCTTCGTGTGCACAAGTCCTGCCGCCGGTTGGGGTGTTGAGAGCATCTCCGCTGGGTGATGCTTGCCATTCGTTTTCCACTTTTAGAAGAACGACACGCCCCCTGTCCCTACCGGAGGAGCTGTGAGTTAGACATTTTCCCTATGGGAATCCTCTCGGTTGTGTCTGCGGGAAGGGGGGACGGGTAAATGATTTTTATCTCTTAATTGTCAACACAGCTGTTCTCACACTGACTTTGTGCTATTGCATACATGTAGCCATCTTTCTTTTCACTGCAGCAGTGTTTATCAGTAGTTCGAAATGATTTATTTACTCCTGGGGAGTAAAACCTTTTTTATTAAAAAAGAAAAAGAAAAAAAATAAAAGTGTGACCCCCCTTCCCCCCATGATCTCGATGGGATTATTGGGCCACAAAGCTCAAGAAGGCAAAGTCAAGTCCGCCGTCTCCATGTCCGTCCTGTTTTGGCGTTGGAGCCTTCCAGCTCAGCACAGGAGGACGGGAGGCCTGGAGGGGGTGCAGAGCAAAGCCTGGGAGGAGTGCGGTGGGCTGGGCCGCGGAGGCAGAGACACCGGGACCCCCTTGGGTGCTGCAGTTAGAAAGGAAAGTAGAATAATCCATTGTATTGCAAATATTGGCTCTGATCTGCCAGGGAAAGATCTTTCTTTACATGCAGATTCACGTTGTCTTTGCCCTTTTCACCCCTTCCTGACCTTCCCGGTAGGTGCTGTCCAGTTTCTTCCTGCTTCCCTTCCTGTCCTTGCTGCCCCTTCTCCCATCCCTTCGCAGTCCCGTCTACCTCCTGGAGAGCCAGTCCTGCATGCTGAGTCTGTGACCTGCCTTCACACCCACCCCATCTCACTTAGAGGGTACCTGAACCGTTCCTCCCACCATGCCAAGAGGCACTGAGGGGCAGGCGACCAGCAGCCAGCCACGGTGGGAAGACACAAAGGTCTGGTTGCAGCTGGACTGCGATCGTAGTTGCTCCTGGTGACAGAGTGCAAGGCGAGCTCAGGACACTCTTGACTGGAACCCAGGATGGTTACAAACCGCACAGCTCTGCTCAGAACTGCGTCCTAAGCCCCCTGCACAGCTCAGGTGGAGTGGGAAGGCTGGTCTGACTGTCCCTGGTGCTCCCTCGAACAGGGACCTGCCCCTCGCAGTGGGGCCCAGAACCTCTTCCAAGGGCCAAGCATAACCTGGCGCCACCGTGGGCAGGCTGGGCACTGGAGCGCCCCCGCCGGTGCTGCCCATGGCACAGCCGCTGCTGTACATTTCTTGGTTGTTTTGAAGAAACACAAGAGGGGTGTCGTTCTGGGCTCGAGTGGTTGCCCAGAGGGGAGCCACACCCCGGCAACCACTTCTGTCCTCAGGCCCCCCCCGCCCCACCCCCCTCCGAGCCAAAGCGTGGCCTGGCTTTTATCTTCCCATTTAGTTTTCCTCCTTTCCCCTCCCTTTTTGTGCTTAATTTATTAAAATAGTTACTGTATAATTTATTTTCATAAACTATAAGAAATTACTAAATGGTTAAAATAGACTTGCAGGCCAATCTTAAATGGGGCGGGAGGGCCTGAGGGTGGGGTGGGGAAAGATGTTTTGATATAAACAAAACAAATGCACTTTGGGTGTGTTTTGGTATTTTTCTGGGGCTAGCGGGGTGGTGTTGGGATGTCCCTGTAGATTAGCTCCAGAGCGGGGTGTCTGTACATACTGTATTAATAGGCATGTTTGACTCGTACAAAGGGGCGCTCGTAGCTGCCGCAGGTCCTGTTTGGAACCCACGTGCCGTTCCCGGTTTTTGTAAGTGTCCGTGCAGGAGACCTTTGGCCCTTGTGTTTGTACCTCCTTTTTATGATCGCTGTACTGACTCATGTCTTTTTGGGGAGGAGGGAAAAGAGATTTGAAATAAAAATGTTTAGAATTACTTCATGTTATCTCGTGTGTGTTTTCTGGTCCCTTCCCCCCATTTCATATGACTCCTCACACCACACCCCCTAGGGTCAGGTGACCCACTCCTGGGCACTGGGGAACCCCTGTGTCCTGTGTCGTTGGCCAACCAGAGCACGGCCAGAGGTGTGGGAAAACTCCCAAGTCTGCTGGCCATTGCCCAAAGCTGCCTTCTCCTTCCTCAATAGGTGAGGGAGAACCCCGGAGAACTTTCTGGGACCAAACGCCTGAGCCCGTTTGCCTTGGTGAGCCGTGGTGTGGGGCTCTGCTTAGGGGAGGCTTACTTGTCTTAGAACGCAGTCATCCCTGGTGTTCGCCGAAGCTGGCATCTAGGCTTTCGTGAATTCGACCTGCAGCCCTCTGCCTTTCTAGCCCATTCTTTCTTGAGCTGTGCTCTTGGAGAGAAAAAGGCTGAGTATATTTCTCTGACAACTCACGTTCCCCCTCTTCACCTTGCCACCCAGTCCTTTACCAGGTTCCCTGCCAAGAGGGCCAGTACACCAGGCTGGCACATTTTGGTTTTTGTTTTGTTTGTTTGTTTCTCCACATTCTCTGCATCCTCAGTACGGGGAGCATGCTGGGTAAAGTCAAACCAGAGTCCTCAGGAGTTGCATTTCCCAGGGCCCCCCTGGAAGTGCTCACGCAGGGAGCCTGGGAGTTCCCAGGCTGCACTCAGCTCATTCATGGGTCCCAGGCCTGTGATAGGAACAGTTGTTTATCAGTATGACAGCACTAACTCCTGATTAAAGTCTTCTTCCATTTTGCAAGAAAAGGTGCTCCAAGCTATAAATTGTGAACGACATTACAAGGGAATCGACGTTTTTCAAGGGATTGACGTTTTGGTGGTTGGAGTGGACCATGGACCACTTCTTGTTGGTGCCAATGGCATCAGGGAGAATGACGGTGCTGTCATTGTCCTTCGGGCAGAAGGCGCTGCTGGTCTAGGATCAGCAGGCTTTGTCCAGTGACCAGAGGTTGCATCCAAACCCCACCTTTCTCCACATCCTGAGCTGCTCATCTCTTCTCATCCCTTGCAGGGAGGTCAAGGCCTGACTTTCCCCTGCCTCAGAAACTTGGCTTTATTTCTGGGCCTTTTCTCTGTAGATCAGGGCTGATGGGACAGGCAGGAGAACAGGGGAGGCTGGGTTTATACTGGGAGAGAAGAGTAAGGATGGGAAGGTGATGGCTGAGCTTGGGGTGGGTTTAGAAGGCTTGGAGGGGACAGGAGACTCCAGCAGCAGCTGTCCTGTGTGAGGAACTGGTGGAGTTCATAAGGATTTTAGGGCCCTGGCCGTGTGGCTCAGTCATGTGGAGCCACGTACAGGAGGCAGCCAGTCGACATTTCTGTTTTACGCCAATGTTTCTCTCCCTTTGTCTCTCTCTCTCACAAAAAAAAAAAAAGAAAAGAAAAGAAAACATGTCCTCAGGTGTGGATTAAAAAAATTTCTGGGACTTTCTCTGTGCATTTCTCTGTGCATTCCCTCCTGGCACCCCTCCCCTGCAGTGGCCACCCTCCTCCTTGCCCTGGTGTTGGTGGAGAAAAATATGGCAGAGGTTGCTCTTTTTCTTCTGGATATAGGCATGTGTCTTTTTTTTTAAATTAACTTTTTAGTTCTCGCCTGCCCTGACTGGAGACTGAACTCACAACCTGGGCATGTGCCCTGATGGGGAATCAAACCTGCAACCTTTCTGTTTATGGGACGATGCTCCAACCAATGGAGCCACATTGGCCAGGGCAGACAAATGTCTTTGAATGGGACACCATACATAGAAGTGACTGCAGGCCCAGCCATGGACACGTTACACTCTCATTGCACCTGGAGAGTGGGCTCTGGGTCCCGTTCCTCTCCTGCCCTGGCCCCCATCTCACAACCCAGCACCGGGCCAACACACCAAGAGATGTGCCCACGTTTGCTGGATACAGTGGGGTGGGTCAAAGACGGGGGCTGGGGGATAGGGGGTAGGCAGCGGTAGGGGAGGTCCTACCGTGGGTGAAATGACCTGTGGTCCTGAACTGGGGGGCAACCATATGGAATAGGAACTCTCATCCGAAGCAGTACTGGTGAGGGGATGACCCAGAATGCCACATGGAGTCTGGGAGAGGGGTGGCAGGAAGGGGTGCAGTGCAGTGGTCTCCGCCAGGACAGCGGTTTTGTGAGCCTGAAGCACTTGAACAGTCTTTTCAAACCTCGCACTCACCCCTAGAATAGGACGCCCTCCTAGACTCTGCAGGACTGGGGTAGCGGTGGGAGTGGTGAGGTGGACGAAACTCAGATGCATCCGAGGGGTCGTTTGCCTCCTGCCCGCCCTATACCCACTGTTAACACTCCGAGGGAAGAAGACCCCACCCAGCATTTGCAGGTCCAGGTTTGAGCACTGGCTCCTCCCCTTGCAAGTGGTGTGATCTTGGGCAGTCTATTAATATTAAATGCTTTCTCAGTTTGTCTCCTCTTGCAAAGAGGGAGAGAATTTTTATTTACCTCGTGTGAGTAAAATGCCTGGCACCTCTTCAGCACTCAGTATTATCCATCATGAACACTTATTACCATTATCAGCAGCATTTTGAGGCCAAGAACTGGGAGCTTTTTGCCTTCCCAGAGGCAGAGAAAAAATGAAAAGACTTCAAGCCTTTTCAGGCTGCAGAGGTGGGTGGGCTGGAGGGAAGAGGGCAGGAGAAGGGATGGCTTGGGGCGGGGCTGCTGGTGAAGGTGGCGTGGAAGGGGTGGGGCTGGGTGCATTGTTGGGCTTTTCCTGCCACCTAGCGGTCCCCTCTGGGTTAGGTCACCCCACTGTCCCCTCGGGTCTGGTGGCGATGGGGAGAGGCTGGTCTCAAACGTTCCACAGTATCTCTAGTCCTCTTCTGCTGCCCCCATTCAATGCCCTGTCCCTTTGGGGACCCTGGCCCGTGGCACATCCTCCACATGACCCTGGTGTAGAGGACAAGTCCCCTTTCTCCAGGTGGAAGGAAGCTTTTTTCCTCTTGGCTCCCAGGCAGAGTGGGGCGCTAAGGCAGACACCCCGAGAGCTACTGGAGAGCACCTCAGGTCTACCCTCCACCCCACGGGCTTGGTGACTGCTAATGGTATTCTTATTTATTTTTTAATCCTTATGTGAAGACTTGCTTAATGATTTTAGAAAGAGGAGAAGGAAGGGAAACATCGATGTGAGAGAAACGTTGATCAGTTGCCTGTCATACGTAACTCACCCAGGGACCGAACCCACAACCTAGGCGTGCGCCCTGACTGGGAATGGAGCCTGCAACCTTTCCGTTTGTGGGACGACAGACACTTCAGGCAACTGAGCCACATCGACCAGGGCTACTAAGACAAAGGGAGAGAAACATCGGCGTAAAACAGAAATGTCAACTGGCTGCCTCCTGTACGTGGCTCCACGCAATTGAGCCACACGGCCAGGGCCCTAAAATCTTCATTAACTCTAACTTCATTAATTCTTGCCCCAGAGAGATGCCAGGGTCTCCTGGCACTGGGAGCCCAGGCCTGTCTTCATGTCTGCCCTGGGTTTTATGTAATTCTATAAATACTTAATATCTTGCGCAGGCTCTGGGTTAAGGTTGTCCTGTGCCTTCCCCTCCCATCTTCCCCAGAGGATTTTGCTCTTCATCTTTGTGAAGAGAGGACAGAGAACTGCAGCCCAAGGTCTGGAGCCGATGGGGCCCAACTGGGGCCTCTGCGTGAACTCGGCGTCTGGGTCTCTGGTTGTCCCCCTCCCCCGTGGGACGGTGCCCTCCTCCCCGGGGCGGCTGCCTGGAGTGATGTCCTGGTTGCATCATGTCTGACTCCAGCTGTGACTTTTCTTTGGGAGGAGGGGGTCTGGCCCTGGTCCTTCAGGAGTAGGCCAGGAGCCACATGAAGGGGCTACATACTGGGCTGGGAGTTCGGGGTCAGGCATCCACAGGCCCCCAGTGTCTGCCCTGCGGCCCACCGCCCTCCCACCCTGGATGCCCACAATTCCTCTAGGCCCCAGCTGCACCAGGCCAGGATTGCATCATTCTTGGCTTTGTGTGCAGAGCAGCAGGTGGAGGAGTGGGCCCGCTGCTTGCCACCCTCCTTCCCCCTCCTCTCCTTCCTCCTCTCTCAAGCCCAGGGCACCCCAGGAATTGTCTGTCTTACCTCAAGGCTGTCAGCTCCCTTTCCACCTTTTCCTGCTCCCCAGGGAGCCCCAGAGGCTACAGGTTACAGAGGCAAAGGGAAGGAAGCTTGGGGCTGGCATCCGCGCCAGGCTAGAAACTGCCCTTCCTCTCCTCTGCCCCCCACTCAGCTGAGGGCAGGTGCCGCCTGATTGTAGCCAGGGTATGGCCTCCAGAACTGGGGGACCAGATCAGAAATTGCCACCCGCTAAACTAAAGACAATAATAATAGTCAATAAAAGATGAATTAATTCAGCTCTCTGTGGAAAGTGCTTCTACTGAGTATTTACATGTTTGATCCAAGGACCAAGCATTTATTTCCTGTTCACACCTCAGTCAGTCTTTCAGCAGCTCTGTGAGCGGACGCCATCATCTTCCCGGTGATGGGTGGGGATGCTGGGGCTCAGAGGAGGGGCCCACCATGTGGCTACTGGGGGGCAGACCAGCAGTTTGAATTGTGGCTTGTCTCCCTCCAGTGTGACGCCAGGACTCTCAAAGAGATGGTGGGAACTCCAATACTGACCAGACTTGGGCATTTTTTTTACCCCCTAAAAGAAGCTTTTTGTCCAAAGATACTCATCAAGAGACAAGACTGTCGCCCTGGCCGGGTGGTTCAGTTGGCTGGTGCATTGTCCCTGTGCAACCGAGGGGTTGCAGGTTCCATCCCCCAGTGGGCACATACCTGGGTTTGGGGTTCGATCCCCGGTTGGAGCACATACTGAAGGGAGGCCACTGACTCCATCTGTCCGATCAATGTTTCTCTCCCTCCTCTCCCCTTTCCTCTCAAATCAGTCAAAACATATCCTCAGGTGAGGAAAAGAAATGTAAAG